TAGGTATTTCTGCAAATTACCTCATTATGTGTTATTTAGGGCTTTGTAAATGATAAACAGCACTTTGAGTTGCACTTGGAAACCTCATAGGAGCCAGCGCAGTTTGTAAAATAGTGATATGAGAAGGACATACATACTGTTGTATATCCAAAATTACCCACACCACTGCATTCAGCATAACTACATCTTCAGATGGTCTTTAGGAGCATGTTACAGATATCCCCTCCTTTTTAAAAAAAATACACATCATATTATACTCAAACATTATATTCTCAAATTGAACGTTTTATTCATTAAATTGCAGGTGGGAAGTTATGCCAGAATTCCCCCAGGAAAGAAGTTCCATTAGTTTAATTGAATTGTCTGGATCCTTGTATGCAATTGGAGGCTTTGCAATGATTCAGCTTGAATCAAAGGAATTTGCTCCTACTGAGGTTAATGACATCTGGAAGTAAGTTTGTTTTAAACATTTTTTTTTCACTTTGCTAGCCAAAGAGATTCAAGTCATTTCTATTAATTGTGTGTATGATAACGTAGAGTAAAACTCCACTAAAATCTTTAGCAGTAACTAAATGTAGACTTGATCTTGTATTGCCTATTTTTGGTTTTGCTTCAACATATTCTACATATTACATAATTTTAATATTCTCTCATAAAAGTAGAGTATTAAAAACATCAAATTACTTTGTAGAACTGCATGCAGAATATTTTTTTGTTCACAGAGAGCTATATTTTTCCTGAGTGCCCGATGTGCGTTTGTGTTTTGGCACAGCATGGTCTGGATTCAAAAGGAGATCTGGGCTCATCTCTAATTCCTATGACCTATTTCAGGCAACTCCTACTTGCCCACCACAACTTTTTCACAAGAAGCTTTAAAATAATGCATGGCTCAGCAATGTGAGGTGACCTTTTTGGGCACTCATAACAGGGAGGTTACCTTCTTGAAAATCGGACATCAACCAACCAAAACTTAAAAAGTGTACCTGTTCTTACGAAAGACCTTAAAAGCAGGGGTCTCAAACACAAATGCCTGAGGCTTTTCATGTATCCATAAAAAAGTCTCTTAAAGTCTTGTGATGCACATAATAAAGCATGCCGTAATAATAATGCGCCAATTCACTCAGCCCAACTGACCTCACAGGGTTGTTGTTATGGAGAAAATAAGAGCAGGAAGCAGTATTATGTATTTCTGTTGCCTTGAGTTACTTAAAAAGTAATAAAAGGTGGGATAAAAAATTAATAAATAAAATATGCTGACTCCCAGCAACCCGTGAAAATGAGGAAGCAAGAGGATTCCAGTTGAGACCTAAGTTGGGGCTTGCTCTCCCGAGAAGCACCATCTCTGCAGCTCTGCAGCTTCACAGCACCCAGTTGTGAAGTACAGCTGGGTGCTTGGCAGGACAGGTTGAGGGGCAGCTGCCCTCCTAACCCTGAATCAAGGTGCCATTGCTATAGGGCCAAGAGCTATTTACACTGGCATCTCTGTGCTCCTTGCAACAGCTTAACAGTGCTTAGGAGGTCATGCAGTGGTGGGTTGCTCCCAGTTCGCACAGGTTCACAAGAACTGGTAGTAAAAATTTGTAGTAGTTCGGAGAACCGGTAATAACATTGGCTGGCCACGCCCCCGAACCGGTCCCCAGCCCGGTCGCCAATCACTTACCCCGCCTACCTCATCAGAGGCTTTTTTTTTTTACTTTTAAAAGCATTTTTTCTACAACCTCTTCAGCCAAAAAATGCTTTTAAATTTTAAAAAAAAATGCCTCTGATGATCGCGCGGCTCAATTGGGATCGTCAGAGGCTTTTAAAAGCATTTTTTTCTGCAACCTCTTCAGCTGAAAAGATTGTAGGATAAAGAATGCCTTTAAAAGCCTCTGGCGATCCCAGCTGAGTTGCCTGATCGTCAGAGGCTTTTAAAAACATTTTTTTCTGCAACCTTTTTCTAAGGTTGTAGAAAAAATGCTTTTAAAAGTAAAAAAAAAAAGTTGGCCACGCCCATCCTGTCACATTACCCCACCAAGCCACACCCACAAAATAAGCCATGCCCACAGAACCGGTAGTAAAAAAAATTAGAACCCACCCCTGAAGTCATGGTTGAAAGCATGTGTGTGAGAGAGAAAGAGAGGAGGGAGGGAGGGAGGGAGGGAGGGAAGGAAGAAAGGGAGGAAGAGAAAGGAAGGAAAGAAAAAGAAAGAAAGGAAAGAAAGAGAGAGAGAGAGAGAAGGAGCACATGCAGACAGATGCATCAGATGTAAAAAATATTCACTGAAGATACAGCATTTGAAAACAAATGAACCAAAGGATTTTCTTTAACTATAGTTGTTAGTCAGAAACTTGGGGAGCAAACTTTGAAGACAAGAAGATAGAAATGAGTGAAAAGTTGGCAGAAAAGAGAGGGGGACAAATTGAAGCACTTGGAGATTTTAGATAGATTTCAGAAACAAAAGCAAGGGGGGGATTTAATATTACTTTCCAAGACAAGGCATTCAGAGGGATGACAGCATATTGGAATCTGTATTTCCTGCATTACTTTTTCTTTGTGTAGCAATGCTTGTTACATTCTTAGACTAGCAATTATTCTTCAATAGTTGTATTAATATAAGACAGGATGTTACAAAAGAAACTTGGAGTTACTGGGCACAGATTTTGGAAGACAGGCTTGGGAAAAAAGCTAACGGGCCCCACTTATATAACTTTTTGTTCCCGCAGGTATGATGATGAGAAGAAAGAGTGGTGTGGCATGTTGAAAGAAATCCGCTATGCGTCTGGAGCCTCTTGCCTTTCTATTGGCCTAAATCTGTTTAAGCTATCAAAGTTGTAAACTAAGTGGCTACTTGACTGCAGATGAGGATTTTTTAAAAAAAATAATCTCTAGTTTTGTTGTGTAAGCCTACCTTGTACAGAGATTGGTAACTTCAGTTAAGTATTTCGTCTTAAATGTCTATTAACCTCTGTTGAGTATTAGATCCTCCCAACATTTACTAACTATATGATAGTGAATATGTTTGGCTATAGACAGCAGTAAATAAAACTGAATTTAACAACAATTTGTCTCGGAGATTAGACCCTGGGCTTCGGTTTTAAAATAAATATCAATGTTTAAATAAATAACAGTATGGCCACTCTGATTATAGAAAAGGATTTCAATAATCAGATTAGGATTTCTCTTCTCTCTTGTTTATGCCGCCTGTAATTTGTTTACTTTTCTGCTGACTTTAGAACTTGTTCTGAGGAGCAGATTGTAGGAAATGGATTGACTTTCTACTAAAATATGGTGCTGTTTACTGACTACTTTTGGCCATTTCTAGTTCAGTAGCTCTGAATCAGCCCTGGGAACATCAAGAAATGGGTTTGAAAAAAGGTTTCTCACATTAGACAGCCAACCTTTAAAGCCTCACTGGAAGATGGCTGAATGCCTTGCTCCTCCCTCAACTTCAGCCCTGTTCAAGCCCTATTCAGCATCAGCATCAGAAACTATTATTAACTACTTATCTGCACTGAATTCCCTTCTAAAGCATTTAAGAAACAAAAGCCATCTAGGACAGGGGTCCCCAACCTTTTGGACCTCAGGGACCACCAAGTTCATAATTTTAAATGTCGCGGACCACTTATACAATCCAGCATGGGAGCGAAGCAGTACTTGAACTTGCGCGGCATGAGCATTCGCCTTGGTATATTTGCGCCAGCTGATGGTGCAAGGCAACCCTCGTTCCTGCCGCTTGGGACTCAGAGCAATAAACAGCATCTGGTTCGAAGAGCAGCCGGATTTTGCTCTCCATTGCAGATGCCAGATCGGCCCCCTGCAAGCTCTCATCTCTCGAGGAGCCCGACCAAAGTTTCCCGCACCACTTCAGGGAGCACTCCTCGAGAGACGAGAGCTTGCAGGGGGCCGATCTGGCATCCGCAATGGAGAGCAAAATCCGGCTGCTCCCCGGACCAGACGCCATTTACCGCTCCGAATCCCAAGCGGCAGGAGACGAGGGCTGCCTTGCGCCACTGGCTGGCGCAAATATACCAAGGCGGAATGCTGTTGCCGTGGAAATGAAAGTAGTGCTTCGCTCCCGCAGCTTCCAGCCATCACAAACGTCGTTTCTTCCCACTTGTTCCGCCCCCTCTCCCACCGCCACAACAGCACCATTCATTCCGGACTGCAAGGGCTGTGCTTTTTTCATATTGCACCACCTGCAAAAATGCAAAAATATGAAAATTTCTCTGCGGACCACTAAAATTTTCTCTTGGACCACCAGTGGTGGTGACCACTGATCTAGGAGAGGTGCTTCACAGCAAACTAAAGGGATCAAAGCATACACGAAAGAGCAGCCCCCCCCTCCCGGTAATTGGCAGCCCTTCCTCAGTGGAAAAGAGGAACATGAAACCAAAGTAGGGCCTACTGTTAATAACATCTGGTTACCTCAATAGAAGATTCCCCACTAAAGGTGAAACCAGTAAGACAGTGCCTCCTTGTATAACTGCTATCATCCCAAAGAGTCGTCTAACTCTACCATACTTTTAAAAAGATTTAAACATGACCTGAAGTTGAAATGGGAAAAGTCCTTTATTTCAGTAAAATCAGATTTAGTGTGCATCTCTGAAAGTATTAATAACAGTTTAATGGGGATTTGTTTAAAATTGAGATTTCTATTCAAACTTGTAATTTGGAAAACCATAAGAGGTAATTTCTACCATGTTAGGACATGAACAAATCTTGAAGAATGCTCCTTCTGACGCTGGCAACAGGCATCAACCTTCAGATACAGTAGCACAAACCATGAAGAGGATGAGGAAGCAGCAAAAACCTTCCCCATTTAGAGCCTGAAGGGCTGAGAGCGATCCCTTTTGTGGGCCTACAATCCCTAGTCTAAGATTGAAAGAGAGGAGCTCTTATGTGGGGAAACAAGGGTATTAAGAACTTGGGATTGTTAAAGGGGAAGATGTGTGTGGAGGGGATGAATATGACAAGAGCTCGGGGCTTCAGTCTTCACAGCAAGAAGATTGTCACTGGCACAAGCAACAAATGGTTTATTCTTACAAACTCAGAATAAATTCCAATGATTTTATAAGGCACAAAGTATCCAAAAGCAGCAACAATGTTATTTTTATGATTGATACTTGTACATTTATTTCATGGGAAGTTAGAAGACTGGGGGATACAGTAAAAAAATAGAATATTTAGTTATGCACGATCTTTTGTTACAATACAAGAAACTTAAGAGGATACATAATATCAAAAACAAAACATTTAATAAACAGTATTTTGCTCTAGGCACTAATAATTTTTTTAAAAATTTAAAGGGTTAAACTTTAAAGTGCATAGATTTTTGAAGGGTAACAATGGAAAGTTCATATTTAGAATGGGAGATTCAATCTAAGACTCTAAAGGTCAACTAATTGCTAGCATAGTTAATATCAATACTGAATTTGTAAGATTTTTAGACACGCGCAAACACACACACCTATCCCAGAATCTAACATGATGGTATACATTTGAAGTACTGTTTTCTCAATACAAGATAATCAGTACCTAAACTTACCATATACAGAATCTGAGTAACACCTTTCCAAAATTTAAAAAATAAATCACCAATAAAATTATGTAAGCATAATAATCTGCTGAATTTCCAGGATGAAGTTTTCAGATTTTATTCCAAGCATCTCACCTCCGTTTCTATTGATAACATACCCAAATTAGGACAAAGGACTTTATACAACTAGGACTACATACCACTCTTGAAATCTTGAAAAAGGAAAGATCTTTACAAAATAAAAATATTTCTACAAAAACTCAGATATACTGTAAATTAAAAAAAATTATGACCAACAATTGGAACAAAAAGTCCCACAATTTGAGTGGCAGATCAACTGAATATTACAAAAAAAAGAGCAAAAATCCGAGGCAACTCTTTTTGAAAAATTGTATTTTTTTTCCCTACAGAACCTAAGGATGTAATTTTGAATCTGATTTTCTGAAATAGATTGTGGTGAGGACTAAAAGAAATCTGGGACTTAGATCAGGGGTGTCAAACTCAAGGCCCGGGGGCCAAATCTGGCCTACAGGCTGCTTAGATCTGGCCCATGGAACCGCCCTGGAAACAGCAAAGGATTGGCCCACTGTGCCTCTGCCAGCGAAAACAGAGCTCAGGAGGACTGCAGGCGGTCCTCCCCAGCTTCGTTTTTGCTGGCAGATGGTTGCAGGAGGCTATCGCAGCTGAAAAAGGAGCTCGGGAGCCCATTTTTGCTGGCAGAGTGCTTGGGCCACCACAGGCATCCCCAACATGAGTGATGTTGAACTGGCCATGCCCATCCTGGCCACGCCGACCCCAGCCTCCCAAGGTCAAACACGACCCTGATGCGGCCCTCAATGAAATAGAAATTGACACTGACTTAGAAGAACAATTTGATGGTATTCTTTGGGAGTCTGTATGACAGCATAAACATTTTTTATCAGAACCTATATAGGAATTACTTAAACTTCACATTGGTAGCATCGAACTTCAATAATAATCTGACATGTATTTTTTCAATTTTCACTGAGATGTTAGCAAGGCTATCAGTCAAAAGGAACATTCTTTCATGTTGTGTTATTTATCTTAAATACATGTCTTACATAATTAATCAATAGTTTCAATTTTTGCCAAAGCTAAGTTTGCTACACATATTTGGTGGCCAGGATAAGAAATTAGAAAATAACTCATTACGTTTTTATATATATCACCAATTAGGTTATTGCTGAACAATGGAGATAGATATTTCAATGGATAGGTGATAGAATAAGATCTTTACTTGAAAAATCAATCAATCAATCAATTGTATGTCAAGCCAAAGTAGCGAATCTTTATTTTACAAGGAATGGTGGAATTTCATTACTTATAATAAGAATTCTGGAAACAGCTCGCATCAAACATTATGGGCATTTAAAAATGTATGGATTTTTTTTTAAAAAAAATCAAATTAAAATATAACTAAAGACAATCCTTTGATTGTAATTTATAATGCCCAATAGACTGTAAAATACTAATTATGCTTGCATTTCTATTATTTTAAAAGTGCAATCACAAATTCTAGGACAAACTGTATACAGGAAAAAACAACAACAGTATATTGTATGTGTGTGTGTAAAATTTCTGTGATTCATTTCCCATCCACCGTAGCCAGCATGCCCAGTGATTGCAGGTTAGAGGGCACCGAAATCCAAAAATATCTGAATGGTTGTAAGTTTGCATACTGTGACTTTAGCAACTATTAATGAAAATATTGCTTGTCTGTCAGCAAGCACTACTAAAGTTGCACTAAAATGTCAGTATGGAATTAAAGTCAGTACTTTAAAATTTGAGATCTTGTTGGATTACCATTTTATGGCAGAATTGGGTGCTTGAAGAATCTCAACTTCAAGATTCTTAATTTAATTCAAGATTACTTAAAATTTATAATTGTGGGGAGATTGTTTCTGGTTATCAAGATTACCCATACTCTGGTTGCCAATCCAGCTCAAGGCACAACTTATAGTACAGCATTCAGAAATGGTCTCCTGGTGCCCTGGAAGATTGATCAAGGCATTTCAAAACATAATGACCAACACACAAAATTCAAGTATTCCACATGTGCCCTCTCTGTATCAGTTTTTTCTGCACAGGAAAAGCTTATTCCCCAGTTTATTCGGTGTACTAACAGGCATTGTGTTTCATAATTTAAATGAATACAGGTACTTCTCGATTTACAATAGGTCACTTAGTGACCGTTCGAAATTACAACAGCATTGAAAAATGTGACTTGGGAGCATCGTAGCACTCCTGTGGTCACGTGATTTACATTTGGATGCTTGGCAAGTAATTCACATTTAGGACGGTTGCAGTATCCCAGGGTCATGTAATCCCTTTTTGCAACCTTTTCACAAGCAAAGTCAGTGGGGAAGCCAGATTCATTTCACTGTTACTAATTTCAGTGTTTTTCACTGTTGTAAAAAAACAAGTGTTTTTCACTTCACATTTCACTATTCATTTCAGTGTTACTAACTTAACAACTGCAGTGATTCACTACAACTGTGGCAAGAAAAGTTGTAAAATGGGGCAAAACTCACTCCACAAATTTCTCACTTAGCAACATAAATTTGGGCTCAATTGTGGTTGCAAGCTGAGGACTACCTGTACTGACTCACTTAAGAGGCCTACTATTGTCTGGTTATTTTTGCCCATCAATAAGAACTGCCAGAAGCAATAATCTCCAGGTTCCATCGGTGAGGCAATGTCAACTGGTTGGACTCCAAAAATGTGCCTTCTCTGTGGCTGGCCCTGCCTTTTGAAACAAGGTTCCCCATAGTTTCTTGAATTTTAGGGGAAAAAGACCCCCCAGCCTTTTCAACAGGATATGGGACGGGGCGACTTGTGATTCTGTCAATGTATGTTGTTTGCATTGCTGAGGGATATGTAGACATCCTTACTGTTGGTTAGGTTAGCCTATTTTGAATTATTCTTTCCCGTATGTGCACCTATTGGCTATTAAGATGGTTAATAAATTGAGCACCTAAATCACGGGTGTCAAACTCAGTGACGTCACATGATGTATCATTACTTTTTTGCCTTTGCGGAGCCGGGGTGGGCGTGGCCTGCACCTGACACATCCAGCCGGTGGGCTGCCAGTTTGACACCCCTGACCTAAATAAATCAAATTCTGCTTGGCCGGCCTTGCATATGCAAGGCAACCAACCATAAAAAGTAAAGTTCGCATTATAAATAATTATGAATGGCAGTTCAAACTGAATCAATAGCAATGCAGCTTTCCAATGGCTCAGGAGTTATATGAGAAAGCTCTTCCCTGAATGGCCAATAGTGGGATGTCTTTAACAGTGGCCCTTCAGCTGCCTTTCATTCCTGGAGAAGTTTGTAACAAAACAGGAGCCCCTCATGTCAGGTCAGAAAGCATTTAGGGCATTAGCAGGGAAAATACATACCTTAAATTGTGCCTGACATCAGATATCAACTATTGCAAGTCTTCCAACATGAGGATAATAGATTGGGTACTCGGTAGCAGCCTAATTATTAGATTTTGCAAAAAAAGCAACTTCTAAGCACTCCTCAAGGATAGGCTCATATGCTGTGTAGCCTAGTAGTCAATTGATATAACTTAGGTAATTTGCCAGGACAGGCTGGCCAAAAACGGTCACACTTCGTGCAAGAAATGTAAATTGTGCAATGCACTTTGCCCTCTGCAATTCCAAATACGGATATCTCCAGATGCAACATAAATAGTCTTCATTAAAAAAAAAATAAGTTTATTGAAGGCTGAAAATAATTAATTTTCAATGTTACAGTCCGTATAAAAATTGTTATTTTTTTTCCTCCATACTAGGATATCAAAGCTTTTCCCAATACTTTTTTTTCTAAATATTCAGTCTTTGCTTCCGTGGATGACAATTCCATGGAATTCCATTCATAGTGAGGGATCTGAAAGAGAAGTATATGATTAAAATGAAAGTCCATTATTACAATGTTATTCCTATTTCATCCCTTCCTCTTTCCTCAAATATATTATTTATATGGGTACTTTAAAGTTGGTTGCTGTCTTTGGGCAAACGGTTTATTTTATATTTATTATAAGAAAAATTATGCAGAAAATTCTGAAATGTTATTCAACTTTTACAAAATAGAGGAGACACCATACCTGAACAACTTGATAACCAAGAATCTCTAAATGCCGCTTTTTCATGGCAATATATCCTTTGACGTGATTTGAATTTTTGCAGAAAGCTTCTGAATCAAGGAATTCGACAGCAATCCTGAATTAAATACAATTTCAAATTTATTTTCATATAACCAAAAAAAATACAGCTTGCAGGTATTTTATAATCACTTTATGTACTCATGACACAACATGTTATGTACTCATTAACACAACATGACTCATGTTGTGTTAATGAAAATCCCAAAGGTTTTTCTACAGTTATAATTGTAATTCTATTAATTATACATAATTTTAACACTGGTCTGCCATTAAAAATTAGCATCTGATTAAGACTTCTGAATTTTTACCATAATTTAGCTGTAATGCCATCTTTTACAACATAAGAAAAGTTATATTTATCTATAACTGGCTTCGGTAAGTATTCTCTCTCATCTTAAATATTTTGTCCCAGGAATTAAAAAAAAGCCACAATCTGTTGTACGCAGCTGAAATGTAATTATATCAAACGTATTGCAAGTTGCTTTATGCCAAAATAATAATATCCTTTAATCCTAAAACCTAAATTATTTGTTGCCTGAAATTTTGGTGTGGTTCCCTGCAATCCTCTGGCACTCATTAAATAGAACACAAAGTTGTTTTAGAATCATCTTTAAGGACCAACTGTTCAGAAGGTACCTATATATATATTTTGTAATTTTATTGGCAAGTAGCTTATTTTTATTTCACATATAAAAGGTCACTAGTACATCATTATTCTGTAAGATTTGATTCTGCTATTTATTTATTTATTTAATTTAATTTATATACCGCCCTTCTCCCAAAGGACTCAGGGCAGTGAACAGCCATAATGAAAACAATGTACAAAAATAGAATTTAAGAGCAGATTTAAAATAATTAAATCATGGGCCGAATTTAAAACTCTCATTTTAAAACCAATTTTAAAACCCCATTAAGACCAAATTAAAATCATTTATCCCATCAGAGCGGCTTGCTGGAATAACAGGGTCTTCACTGCTATGAATTTTATGTAAGTGATAGACCTATGGATATCTGTTCCGTTCAGAGTACATATGTCTTCTTTGGATTGAATTCTGATTTTATTTAAATGATATCACTTATACAACAATATATATATGTTTCTGTTAATTATGTATTAAAGTGATAGACTTTTCTATAACTATCTTCAAACCGGAGGTTGCACCAGTTGTCCCCATTCCTTGATCAGGCTGTCACTCATGCCTTAGTCATATCTGCCCAGAATGGACTACTGTCAAGCGATGTACATGAGATTGCTGTTCAAGAAAAGGTACGTGTTCTCTCGATTAACGAAGAGCTCTGTCAGCCTCACTGGTTGCTGGTTTGTTTCCGGGTTCAATTCAAAGTGCTGATAAGTATGCTGTGCAAAGTACAATGACCTTACATGCCATGGGGCTGGGTTATTTGAGGAACTACCTCTCCCTAGTTACATCTACCCATCCCATCAAGTCCAACAGAAGAGGCATATTATAGGTCGCGTCGATAAAGGAGTGTCATCTGATAGGACCCAGGAGGAGAGCCTTCTCTGGCTGGGCACCTGACGTTTGGAATATAATAACCCCATGAGGTTAGATAGACCCTTACCACCCTGCCTTTGGAAGCTCTGACATCATGGTTTTGTCATCATGCCTGGAATCTACAAATTGGTTATACTCTTAGTAATGTATGGATTGCATTCTTCTGCAGATTATGTTTTATGGTTTACGTTATTTTAATGGTTTTTATTTTTATTTATTTGTTTTCTGTTATCTGTCTGTAGAAGGCACCCAGAGTCACCTATGTGAGATGGAAAGCTATGTAAGTCAAATAAATACGTGAATAAGGAAAAAAAATGCAATCTGTCTAATTAAGATCCCTGTTCTTATTACCACTTGAGTGAAATTGTAAATACAATGTGCCATCACCTGCTCAGAGGACTGCCTGGAATTGAAAATCTAGTGAAAACCCTTATTGTCCTGCATTACCATAACATAAAAAAAATACATGATCACCTTTGAAATCCTGGTGGTAGCCTTTTCTTTCCATAGGAGTGACCAGCTTCTGTACAACCTATGTTGTCTGAATTAGGAACGACGTGTTGGTCTATATATGGAACAGGTTTTCTGTGTTTGTCAATTATAAATTCAAAATCTGAAAGACACGAATGGCTATCAGCAATCTGAAGCTGAAATCATACCCAATAATATTTGCAAATAGGCATTACTTCCGCATCACCAGAATAATATAAAGTAGGACTGTGCCGTGTTCGCGGTTGAAGGCAATGAAGTGCTTCAGAGCATTTTGAGGGCATGAACGAAAAAGAGCAGCGATGAAGGCACCAGGCTAGAAGTCAGGAGTCTGTGAGTTCTAATCCCACCTTAGGCAAGAAAAATGGTTGCATGACCTGGGGCCAGTCACTTGCTCTTAGCTCTACTCACCTCACAGGGTTGTTGCTGTTGTGGGGAAAACAGAAGGAGGAAGGAGTATTGTGTGTTTGCCACCTTGAGTTACAAAAATATTAAGGTCGGGAAATTGAATGAAATGAATGAATGAGGCAGCTGCCTGGAACTTTTAGGTTAACTAATATGCAGCTGCAAAAATTAGACATGCGCCGAAGAATTGCTCTTAAGAGAAAAACATGCCTAGTCTTCAAATCAAGAATGTCATGCTCCTACAAGATCATAACCATTTAGACAAAACTCTCAAGGCTTGCATAAAACGAAACAAGTGTTATACTCTGTTTTTGAAACAACCCACCAATTCTATAGCAGTAAGAAGTGAGTACAGAACATCTGGCATAATGGCTTCTTCCTAGGATTTCTCCAAGTAGTATATATATCTGCTGTTGCAATAGACTGAACGACTCAGACTCTAGGGAAAAAAAGACAGCCAAGAAAACAAACACCAAGTTAGAAATACAGAGGAGACCGAACAAAGCTCCCCCATCTATTATTACATAAAGGCAAAGTTATCAAAGGCTTCCCACCATCTTTGCCTATTTTTTTTAAAAAAAGATCACACTTCTCCAAAGGCAGCAGATCGAACATGACAAAGAAGATCTTTAACTTCATAGCAGGCAAAGTTTCTAATTTTGCCATATCCATGGAGTAATAAACCCAGTTTTATATATATATGTAAAAAGATTCAAAGGAATTGTAGCCTTGATGATATTTAATGCTATTAAACTGCCCAAAAGTATAAATATTCACTTTTTTCCTTCAGCTGTTTACAGAAGCATTTATGAAACCACGGAATCTGAAGCTCGGGGCACTCCAAACACACAGCTCGATTCAGTTCCATCAGCTGGAGGGTGGACTTCCTTGCTGATTTCCATGGTAGAACTGTTTTTTAAAAATCCAGAAGAAATAAGCACAACAAGGCAATGTTTAGAATATAACCATGAATATAAAAAGAAAAGCGGCCATTTTTTAGACAAAAAAATTATCACAAATGTATTAGTATCACATTACTTACTTCACTATGATAGCTAAGTACAGGTATCATTGAAGAATTCATAAATTAACAACTAGCACTTCTTTTTAAGAATAAGAAACATGCTAAGATTAAAACAAAACCAATTTCTAAAAGTTAAATTCAGGGAGTACTGAATCCATACAATTTTGTTTTACTTCATGTCAGCTTCTGAAGAAGATCCTTGGTGACAAGCCCTCTATGGAGGCAGCTACACTTAAATAAATGTAGCAAAAGTCAACAGCATTATACTGATTTTTATTATTTGGTTGTTTTTGTTAGAATGCATTCATGAAACTATTAGCAGCTGTTTATCCATGTGTGAAAACACGGCGGAAACATAAAGATCAAATATATAAAATGACTGGCAGCTTGAAGTTTTTCCTTTGTTTTCAACTAAGAACATTGTTGAAATGCAACCTATTTTTTAATATACAGATATAAAAGATTTATTTGAAAAAAAAAAACTGTAAACAGATATAGGAAAACTGTAGGTGAAATGTATACTTCAATAGGAACAATGCAGATCCAACCAATATAAAAGTTGTTTCTGAAACCCATCAAAAATAGAAATTAGCACTTACTTTGAAGCTCAGTATCCAACTTGGAGAGAAACTCTATATTAAATATTGCCTTTATCATTTTCTGTGGAAAATACCCAGAAGAAGCCAAAGCGTAACCAAGCAATACAAGAAGAGAAGGCTCAAAGAGTTCTGTAGAAAATAAATATATTAATGCATAATATTAAAAACATTATTTATCTAAAAGTAGTACAGCAGATAGGAAATATAAACCCTGACCCCAAATTTTCACAGAAATGTACAAATTGAATATAGTTGAGAACATTGATATGCATTATCTGAGAGCTAAATACTTGGCATTTTTAAAAGATTTAGATGTGAGTAGAAATAATATATTTTGCAACCTTATTGTTAATTGCTTTATTTTAGCAATGTTTTTAATTTCATATATTTTATTCTACCAATTTATTAAGATTAGGGGTCATAAAATTGGTGTAAAGAATGAATGGAAAAAAAGCAGCTCTGAAATTGTTTTAATATAACTTTTAATTCTTCTCAGTTTTGAAATCTCTATGCATTTTCCAAACTATAAAGCATTTCCCAAACTATAAAAATTTTGTATGACATCGCAACACTTTCATTTTCTTTTCTTTCCCTTTCGATATTTCCATTTTTTATTTCTTCAAAAGTTATTTGCACTGCTCCTCATTTGAGAGATGCCCAAAATGTTCTATAATAATCTAAAAACATTTGAGATTACCAGTAGAAACAAAACAATCCATTGCTAAGAAATTGGGAATTCATGACTGAGGAAAGCCAATATAATGGCCCTTTAGAAGATACATCAGCATTGGCACTTACTGTTGTTGAGAAATGTTTTAAGTGCATTCCACCATGTACTGTATAACAGAAGGGCCAGCTGTCAACCCTGAAGCGAACATGGCTGAAGCCATCTTTGAGGCTTCAGGGTTGCCACAAGGAAGAAGAAGGGACCGGGGGGGGGGGGGGGGGGAAAGATAGCTGGGGTTTTGTAGTCAAAACAAAAAGTTTTGCTGTGGGAACCAAGGACATTCCAACAGGTGATTGGGGAGAGGAGGAGTGGAGTAACCGAGCAACTGGCCAGCACCTCTATTGGACAATGTGATTAATGACTTGGAGGAAGGGGGAACATTTACTTTTTTTTTTTTTTTTAAATAATTTTTATTGAATATAAATATTAAAAAAGACATACGTAACATATACACAACGAACATTTATACAACATATACACAAAAAGAATATAATTTCTTCTTAAGCATTTTTTCAGAGTGACGTTCTACAATTCTACTTATAATATATTCCTTCACCTTTCTGTAATCTAATAATATTTTTATTACATATATATGTATCAATCGGTAATATATCCCCTATATTTTTTGTGTATTTCTAATTTTTAACCAATTATACCAACTATTCCATATTTTATAATAGTCTGATTCTTCTTTTTCTTGTAATTCTTTGGTTAACCTATCCATTTCAGCGCATTCTAAAATTTTCCCTATTACTTCTGTTTCACTTGGTATTTTTTCTTGTTTCCAATTTCTTGCGTAGATTATTCTTGCAGCAGTTAATATGTGAATTGTAAGATATTTAATATCCTTAGGGTATGATTTGTTAAATATTCCTAATAAAAATGTTTCTGGTTCTTTTTCAATCTGTGTTTTTGTTATTTGTTCCAACCATTTTTTGATGTTAGACCAAAATTTCTTTGCTGCCGGGCATGTCCACCATAAATGATAGAAAGTCCCTTGTGCCTTTTTGCACTTCCAACAAATTGGGCTATTTTTAGGTTGTATTTTTGCCAATCTGGTTGGAGACATATGCCACCGATAAAACATTTTCAGTTGGTTTTCCTTGTACGCCGTTGCTTTCGTTAATTTTAGGTTTTCCTGCCAGAACTTTTCCCATTTTTCCAAAGGTATTGTGTGTTTGATATTTTGAGCCCACTTAATCATCGTTTCTTTGACTGTCTCTTCTTCCAATTTATAGCGTAGGAGAAATTTATAAATTCTACTAATTAATTTATTTTCTGAATCTAATATAATTTTATCTATTTCTTGTTTTTGATTGTAAATTTCATATGTTTTTATATGCTCTCTATATTTAGATTGTATTTGAGTGTAAGTCCACCAGTCTATTCCTCTGTGTAAATCTGTCTCCAATTGTTGTTTTGTCTTTAGTTTGCCTTGATAGTCAATTATATCTTTATATCTAATTATTTTTGTCTTATCTGTTAAATTTGGGTGTCTAATTGATTCCGCCGGTGCTAGCCAATTTGGTATCTTCATATAATGTTGTTTTTTAATTTTAAGCCAAATTTGTAATAGTGAGTTCCTTATTGTATGTGTTTTAAAATATGAATGTGTTTTGTATTTCTCATCCCACATAAAGGAGTGCCAGCCAGTTTGAAGTTCGTGTCCCTCAATTGTTAAAGTTCTAGAGTCCTTTAATTCTATCCAATCTTTGACCCACGATAGTACTGCTGCTTGGTAGTATATCTCCCAGTCAGGGAGTGCAGCTCCTCCTCTATCTTTTGTATCCTGAAGCAGTTTAAATTTTATTCGTGGCCTTTTCCCTTGCCAAATAAATTTAGATGTTATTTTATTCAGCTTTTCAAAAAACGGTTTATCTATTTTAATTGGGGTGACCTGAAACAAATATAGAAATTTAGGTAATATAATCATTTTGATAGCCGAAATTCTTCCTAGGAATGAAATGTGTAAATTTTCCCATTTTTCTAAATCTTTCTTTGTTTGTTCTAGTAATTTATCATAATTATTTTCTTTAATTGCTGATGTTCTTGTGGATAAGCAGATTCCTAGATATTTTATTTTTTTTGTTGTTTGAATTTGTATATTATCTATCAAATCTTTTGTTTGGATTTCCGTAAGGTTTTTAACAATTAGCTTCGATTTATTTTTATTAATTTTTAGTCCAGCCACTTCTCCAAATTCTTCTATTTTTTGAAACAAATTAGGTATAGATTCCATAGGATTTTCTGTCAAAAACACTAAGTCATCAGCAAAGGCTTGAACTTTGTATTCTTCTCTATTAATCCTTAAACCTTCAATTCCTTGATCTTCTCTAATTTTTTTCAACAGGGTTTCCAATGATAGAATATATAGTAAGGGGGAAAGTGGACAGCCTTGTCTAACTCCTTTTGTTATATTAAATTTGTCTGTTATATCATCATTCATAATTATCCTTGCTGATTGCTTGGTATAGATTTCTGCTATAATTTTCCCAAATTTTTCCCCAATTTGCATATTTTGTAGTTGTTCAATCATAAATTTCCAATTTTGGTTATCGAAGGCCTTTTGGGCGTCAAGAAAAACCAACACTGCCTGCTTCTCCGGGTGTGATTCATAGTATTCTAAAGCATTAAGTATTATTCTCATGTTGTTCTTTATTTGGCGTCCCGGCAGAAATCCATTTTGGTCTGGGTGTATATATGTATTTAATACTAATTTAATTCTTTCTGCCAAGATTGCTGCAAATATTTTGTAATCGGCATTCAATAATGAAATAGGTCTATAGTTTTGTATTAACTGGAGATCTGTGTCTTCTTTTGGAATGATTGTTATTATGGCTTCTGTCCATGAATTTGGTATCTTGGCTTTCTCCATAGCTTCATTATATAATCGCAACATATTCTCTCCCAATACTTCTTGCATTGTTTTATATATTTCTACCGGTAGCCCGTCAGGACCCGGTGTTTTATTGTTTTTTTGCTTTTTCAGTACTTCGTCTAGTTCTAATTTGGTTATTGGCCTATTGAGAGTAATTCTTTGTTCTTCTGTGATTTTTGGCATTCCTGATTTCTCTATGTACTGTTTTATTTTATCTTCCTCTATTTTCCCCTGATTATATAGATTCGCATAAAATTTCTTAATAATATCTTTTTTGGCCTCTTTACTATGTTGAATTTCTCCTTTATCATCTTTCAATTGGTATATCATTCTTTTTTTCTGTTCTTTTTTCAGTTTATAGGCTAGCCATCTGCCCGTTTTATTTGCGTGCTCAAAATAGTTTTGTTTCGCCATTTTTATTTTTTGGGCTAGTTCTATTTGGTTTATCAAATTCAATTTATGCTTAATCATTTCCCATTCTTCTCTTATTGTTTTGTTCTGGGGCTTTTCCTGGAGTTTTTGTTCTATTTGTTTTAGGTCTTTCTCTAATTTATCTAATTGTTTTTTCTTCTCTTTATTCTTTTTCCTCGTATATGCTATTACTAGGCCCCTTATATATGCTTTTAAAGTATCCCATGTGTTTTGTAAAGAGGTTTCCTCTATTTTATTTATCTGAAAGAATATTTTTACTTCCTTTTCTAACATCAAATTAAATTCTTTTTCTTTACATAATCTTTGGTTCATTGTCCATCTCTTACGTCTTCTTTCCCCTTTCCAGTTTATGAATAGTGGATTGTGGTCTGCCCATTGGTTTGTGCCTATCTCAATTTTTTCTACTTCTGTTTTGATACTTGGGGTCATCCATGCCATGTCCAATCTTGACCAGGAGTTATGCGGATGGGAGTAAAAGGTGTATTGGGCCTCTTCTTCATGTGTTTCCCTCCATACGTCTGCCAAGTTTAGTTCTTCAGCCATAGTAAAGAATTCTTTTGGAAGTATTTCTTTTTTCTTTTGTTTTTTTTCCCCAGTTTTGTAGTCTTTCTTTGCATTTACTATTGCATTATAATCCCCTATTACACAAATATCATCATATTCTAATTCTGCTAATTTTATATGTAGGTCTTTAAAAAAAACCTGTAGTTTTTGGTTAGGTGCATAAATCCCTACAATTAACATTTTCCTTTTTCCTATTTCTAATTCAACCATCACCACTCTACCTTGCTCATCGGTATAAACTAGTTTAGATTGTATTTTTTCTTTTACGTAAATCACTACTCCTTTTTTCTTTTTTGGGGCCAGAGATAAATATAATTTTCCTAATTTGGGGTTTTCTAGGATTTTTTGATAATCTTTTTGAATGTGTACTTCTTGCAGACATATTACATCTGCTTCTAATTTTCGTAATTTTGTGAAAATTTGATTCCTTTTCTTTGGGGCATTTAAGCCATTAATGTTTACCGAAAAGAGTTTGATCTGTTCATCCATTGCCTATTATATCTGTTTTTTGGTGTTTCTTGTTTCCATCCGTTCTCTAGGTTTTGCACCTTCTCTCTGTTCTCTCTCTTTTTCTTGCCTCTGTCTTATTTCTTTTTCTTCCTTTGTTTCTATTGGTTCTTCTTCTTGACTTTTACTATCTGTTTCCTCCTTACTTTCCTGTTCTACTTCTAGTCTAAAATGTGTGTTATGAAATTCTCTTGCCTTTTCTAGAGTATCTATTTTATATCTTTTGTCTTCCCACGTAATTAAGATCCCCTCTATTGGCAACCATCTATACATTATCTTGTATTTGATCAGTAGTTGTGTTAAAAACTGATATTGTTGTCGTAGATTTCTTACTCTTCGGGGTATCTGTTTTAAGATTATAATTTCTTTTCCATTATAGATCACCGTTTCTTCTCTAGATTTCTTATAGACTTCATCTCGGATTGATTTTTTTTAAAATTTAACATGGACTTCTCTCGCCAATCTGTGTCTTCTTATATAATTTGTTTGTACACGATAAGTTTCTTCCAATTGTCCTTTTATTTCTTCTGGCTCTTTTTGTATCATTCCTGCAATAATCTCCACCATCTTTCCTTCTAAGTCCTCATTTTTTTCTTCTGGGACATTTTAAAAACGCAAGAAGTATGAGGCCTTTTCCATTTCGAGCATGGCCAAGGAATCTGACATTTCTTTGTTTAGTTGTAGGGTTTTTTGTTCCATTGCTTCTACTTTTAATTCCACGTGATCTATTTTTGTTTCCGTTTTCCTAATTCTCTGTTCATTTTCTGCTATAGAATTTTGAATGCCCCCAATTTTATCTTTCATGGTCTTAATATCTTCCTTAACTTCTCCTAATTCATTTCTGATCTCTGCATGGAACGTTCTCATTTCTTCCTGATTTTCAGCTATTTTTTCTTGTGTTTGAAGCAGTGTTTCCTGGATCTTTTGAAACATATCTTGTATTACATTAGGTGCCATTTCCAGTTTTTCTTTTTCTTTCCCCATCATGCTATCTATTGTTTTTTGTTGTGAGGGGGAAGGAGTCATTACTAACGTACTAGTTGTAGGTTTTTTCCCTGTCTTTGTTATGGTGGATGTTGTAGACATTTTTAATATTCGTGTAAAGCTTTCCAACCTTAACATCAATTATTAAGTTATTCCTTAATATCTCTTTTCCCCTCCAAATACTACTTATACACCACACAACTTATATATAGTTATATTATATTATATTGCCAGTTATCCCAATTAAGCAATTAATTCTTGTTCACAGTATAAATCTATTTACTTATCAATCAGGATTTTAATTTAATTTTCTTAATTTTCTAATTAGCAATCTTTTCAGTTACCCCCTTTTTTCAATCAGTCTATCTCAGAGATATATAAAAATCAGTCTTTCGCTTTAACAATAATTCCTTATCTAACTACAATTCCACAATACAATTTATAGCTATAAAAATATTGTCAACTTATATATTTCTTTCAAATATTACTTATTAACTAATTAAACAGTTCAAAATTAATAATTCATTTAATTTTTATTTTCTTTAGTCCTTATTGTCTTCTTGCTTTATCTCTCTCAGTCTGTTCTTTCACAATCATGAAAAACGCAATCTGTGTCGTCTCAGTCTTTTTTTTTTTTTTTTAATTTCTTCTCCCAGTCATCGGATCTCTGCATTCAATTTTCAAATCTTTTTTTTTTTTAAACTTGAGTTCTTATAATCCAAAGTTATTTGTAAATCCAGAGTTCGAAATCCCGACAGATCTTCTGTATCCGTGAAATTCACCACTTAGTCCGGTATTTCAGTCTCTGTATTCGGTTTCCAATGTTTGGGGTTTGAATCAGTTATAATTCCCAAGATCAAACAGCTTGTCTCTATATCCACAAAGTCCACAGGCTGCTCCCTTTGATCAGCTGTAAAGGTCCGCAGTCAGACCGCTTCGAGCGCTATTTCTCCTTTTCTTATATTTGCTTAGTCATTCTATGGGATTCTCTCTTCCGCGCTATAATTATTCCCCCTTTTTTCCTTCTGCTCTTGTATCGCCGCTGTTGTAACTCACTTGTCTTTCTCTGATTCGCTCGCGCGTCCCATTTGCCGTCTCTGTTGTAGGTGATCTATCTGACAGTCACTCGGATTTGCTTCCACTTTTTGCTTCGATCTAGGCGGGCGCCATCCCTCCTGTCCGCCGATAAGGCCGACTTCTTCTCCACCAATTTAAGAGGTTGATCGCTCGACCTCCCTGATGACAGCGCAACACCAGGGGGCTTCGTGAATTCCTCTTTAATTTCCCGATTCCTCCAAGTTCGGGAATGCCCCTAAAGAGCAATTAATGAGGAAATTTGGGTTTCAGAGACGGAGCCTCCGTTTCCTCACCCATTCGTGATGACGTCACCGCCGGAAGTCGGGAACATTTACTTTTTAATCAGGTGAAAACGGCAGGAACTTTCAGAGTTGGTTTTCACCAGTTGTGCCAATATGATGTATCCAATGAATTGTTCTTTGAGGAATCTACCTGCCTCGGACTTCTGCTTTCTATGGGTGCATTACTTGGAACGCTCACACCAGCATGGCCCAAACAACTTAAACTTATTTGTCAAAATCCTACCATCAGTACAATCATATTGTGTGGATAAATAATGAATAATCAACATGGAAGGAAGGGCATGATGGCAAATATCACTCAATAGGCCAGGACCTTATTGTTTTGTTCATTGGGCTTATGTTTAAGAGAAGAACAGATTCTATACCCACATTCTCTCCATGTAACTAATTGTAAGAACAATTATACTTAATATGCATATTACTCCTTTATTTGCTGAGTCCATGCCGGGGGATTGATTCTTCACAAATTTATGAAGTTTTGCATTCATGCTTATGGCACTTTTGCAATGTATTTTCTAAAACTGAGCAACTTTGTAAGCATCCTTAGAGAAAATAACCAGTTAAAATACTCTTTAAAATCCATTATTCATATTTAAAAAGGTCTGTTTTCAGTGACCATTTTAATGTATTCCTACTTAGAACTGAGTTATTTTCAAAAGTTATAGAATGGGACAATGCACACATCATGGCTGGTTCTTTAAATTTCCTCTTCAATAACATTTAATAAAATTCAGAAGTTAGAATATTCTCTATGAAAACAATGAAAGAGACCAAGTACATCTATTTGCCTTCTTTCCTTTTAAGAAAGAGACAGAAACAGAAGAGTTTATAGCTAGAAATTTTCTTTATATGTTCATTGTCACTTCCAGAAAAATATAATTTGACAATAATTTTGATAATCAACTTACCCAAGTGAAGACTGATATGATTAATGCAAGCCTCAAAAAATTTCTCAGCTTCAGGGGGTTCATAATTAAATAAAGAAAATAGAACAAGAATAACATGTACTTCTGAATAGTAAATCTAGAGAAAGAAAAGAAAATAGGAGAAATCAGCTCATCTGTTTTTGTCAGTTTTGTATAACAGTCAAAAACCTACCAAATTTGAGATTACAGCTATCTGTCAACCTCTCCAAGCGTTCTTAAAACCCAGGGGAGAAGAGTTTTTCAAATATTCTGGTCCCAAGAAACTTTGATACTTCTAACTACCACTTTTAATTATGCTCTGAAACAGAAGGGTAGCTCAGGAAGCTATTGTGATGAGGCAGTCATGCTTTTCTAATCAGCTCCAGTTGTTTGCTTACTTGCAATATTCTCAGCATTTTTCAAAGGCAAAGGCCAAGTTATAGTACTCCATATAATATTTAATTATATTAAGTATTTGTCACTATTGATGTGGCACATCAACAAAAGATATAGAAATTTGTTTTAAAAATAGAATCCCATCCCTAGCAAAACCTGGGCACGTAGGTTCAGATGACAATTCTGAAATAAACCTAAATAGAAAACTTCACCCTAACAATCATAACCTGAATTCTGATTTCATTTCTGATCTTCAACTTATAGACATTTGTAAATGAAGGAGGAGAAAACATTTATTTAAAACAAATGATTGGGTGGGAGAAGCAAAGGGCTGCTTAACCAAGGATGTGTGATTTGGGAGAAGCTGGTTGCTTGGTGGATTTTAACTCTTTCTATGACAGGAATTGTTTTATTTCACCACACACACTCCCACCTTCACTTGCTTCTTTCCCTCATCTCCATCCAGTTTTGTTCTCTGCTTTCTCTTCCCTTTTCAGTACATTTAGATGTTATTACCGTAATCCACTTCCATCCTATCCTTTTTTTCTATTTCTGAATATATATGTGTGTACACTGTGAGTTTAGTATGTGTGCAAGGAAGAGAATGCAAATGAAGAATCAATTAATTTAAAAACATTTCAATGCAATTAAATCATTAGTTACTAATTCAGTTAATATTAATTAAGCATTTTTTCCACAGCCCTGCCCCTTTCGGCGTTGCTTCTGGTAAGTAAATACACTGGTGTTTAAGTGTTTGTGAACCCCTTTTGAATTTTCAATATTTCTGCATAAATATGATCTAGACTGTGTTTTCACACAAGGCCGTAAACTAGATGAAGAGAACCTACTTAATTAAGTCAAAAACATTATTCTAGCTCAGGGGTGGGCAAATGTGGGCCCTTTTACAACCTGTGGACTTCAACTCCCAGAATTCCTGTGACATCAAAGCTGTCTCAGGAATTATGGGAGTTGAAGTCCACAGGTTGTAAAAGGGCCACATTTGCCCACCCCTGTTCTATCTTATTTACCTATTGAGGGACACCCATCCAGAGCTATATATTTGTGTGGCAAAATTATGTGAGCAGAGTCAATCTCCTGAATCTAATTTTGGGATGATACTCAGGTGTGAGTATGGGAGGCCCTGCCTTATTTAAAGAAGAGAATTCTGGCTATTCATAATCCAAGTCTGATTTTCACAGCACAGCTATGTAGAGGTGTGTCGTGGCTTGAACAAGAGATTTCTAATTTGCTGAAAAACAGTTGTTGATCCTCACCAGGCTGAATAAAGCTACCAAACTATTTCCAAAGTTTCGCATTCTTTTTCCACACACAAATTTGTACTGTAACTTGAAAATGAAAATGCTGAGAAATCAGGACTAGTTCAGATTAAATATACACATTCAGTTTCCACTGATTTCATTTGAATTTTTCTATTTAACAATAAATCATTATATAACTCATTATTTGAGGTTATATACAGGTAGTCCTTGACTTACAACAGTTAGTTTAGGGACCATTCAAAGTTACAATGGCAGTGAAAAAACTTTTGACTGTTTTTCATACTTAAGACTGTTGCAGCATCTCCATGGTCATATAATCAAAATTTAGATTCTTGGCAACTGACTCATACTGATGACCGTCGCAGTGTCCCAGGGTCATGTGATCACCTTTTGTGACCTGCTGACAAGCAAAGTCAATGGGGAAGCCAGATTCATTTTACAATCATGTTACTAACTTAACAACTGCAGGTATTCACTTAACAAATGTGGCAAGGGATGTCGCAAAATGGGACAAAATTCACTTAACAACTATCTCAGCAACAGAAATTTTGGGCTCAATTATGGTCGTAAGTGGAGGACTTCCTGTATATTCAATACTTCTATATAATGCTCATCATACAAATCTGTAACACCGTAATTCAAAATATATGTATTTCTGAACTAAAATATATTTTAAATTATTGAGAATCTGTATTAAACATGGTTTAAAGGAGGAGCTCTAACAATTCAAGTGACTACAAATTAAAGTAAAAAAAAAAAACACACCAGAAAAAGAACAGTACAGAAATATAAACAGGTATTATACAGCTGGAATTAGAAAAAACCAAGATTGTACCAGAAACATGGAAATAAAATAATAGTTTGAAGGGACCTTGTCCAACCCCCTGCTCAAGGAGATCCTACACCCGTGATGCCAGAGGTGGCACGCAGCACGCACTCTATGGGCATGTGAGCCATTGCCCAGCTCAGCTCTGCTGCACATACATGCGCGCCTCCCGCCAGCCAGCTGGTCTTCAGGTCTCTGACACGCATGCGCAGGGGGTGAGGTGCATATGGGGAGGCATTTTACATGCACGGGGGGGGGGGGGGCATGCGGGGGGGTGCGCAAATGCATAGGGGATGGGGTGTGTGCATGGGGGCCACGTGCACATTGCATTTTGGGGGTTCATGCACGCGCACACATGCATTCACGCAAATGCGCGCACACTCTGGCAACTTGGTCCGGAAAAGGTTAGCCATCACTGCCCTACACCATTTCAGACAAACTTGTGAAAGCGAGCTATTCTATTGGTTGACTGCTCTCACCATTAGCATGAGAGCACTGTATGGCATTACCTTTTAACAAATTATATTCTTTGGGCACCAAGTCCACGTTTTTTATATAACTAGCAGGGGTCCTTAGACCCAATTTATATGCCACAACTGAACCTTCAGTGTGTACAGCAAATGCTCTATTGCAGAATTGCAGCCCTTCCCTCATTGCACACTGCCCATTTCATCCTTCTCAAAAGAGATGCAAGATAGTCCTTTGTACCTGATCAATATGTTCAATGGCAACCGCAGCTATTCTGTCCAGTAACTGTGTACAGCGGTAGTTGGTTCCAATGAGAAAGGATGCACACTTCACTACATTTGATGGTGTAATCTGATCTTTCAACTGATATAAAGCAGCTATGGTCTTCTCGAGGAGCACTTCTTGAAACCATTTCCCATGTAAGTATTTTAATTCCTTCAGCAAAAGATCCAAATTATTTATTCTCTCAAGTCTCTGAAATGCGCAACTGTTAATTTTTTGCAAAAGTGACCCGTATGGTGCAGAATAGCTTTTCTGATTTGTCTTATGATGTTTCATCCATTTTAGGAGATTTACGGTAAAGCTACTGAGCTGATTCAGACTGCACTGAGGTAGGACAGCATCTATTTGAGTAACTATCGCTTCATCCACATAAGGAGAAGGAAGATTAGAAAGAACATGAACCAGCATGAGGATATCAGCGGGAACTCTTTTAACTTGTAAATGGCTGGAATTGAAACAACAATAAACAAAAAAGCACTTTAATAAAATAAAATAATAAATACATAAATTGGGGAAAAAATTAATTAAAAAATGAATGTACAAGATAATATGTGTACCACATATGTTTTTACTACATGATTTTCAGATAGATCACATGCATACTTGTTAAAATGTGCTCAGGACTACTTTCAGTTATCATGCTAGAAAGCTGGAAACAAGGAACAAAAAAATAAGCAACCAACAGTATTAAACTTTTATTAGGTAACTGAAACCATTATTTCTATGAATTTTAGCTAAGAATTTAATGAAGGAATCTATTAAGCCATAAAGATAAAAACAATGTTTAATTAATGTATGTCCTTTATTTCCAGATGATGTACATATATTGCTGAGCATAATTTTACAAATGAAAGACACTATACACATACACGCATATACATGTATGTATATATGTATGTATAAAATTTAGAGAGAAGGGCAGAATTTACAGAGGAGGGTAAACTGTCAAAAAGCAGTACATTGAGTTTTGATTAATAGAGGGACATTTATGTAGATGCCACTCAAATAGAAGAGAAATGATCCAGGGGGGATGGAATGTGGTTTGTTCGTGTACATAACAAACACTTGGAAGTTCAAACAGAACTTTCCAGGTGAGTCACAGTCTATTTGAACCCTACATTAATACGGAAATACAATATGCATTGAAATTTGGAAGAAGGAGATATTGAGTCCAAAACCTTCATTTTTATTCTTCAAATAGCTGTCACCACAATTTTTATGAAAATTTATTTTAGAAATAATTTATTTCCAGATATTGTATGAGTGAACTGGTGAGCCAATATCAAATAGATTTATAGAACACTTGCTCTGTAGAAATAAAATGAACATTTCTATCGGGCAAGTGTTCTGTGAATCTATTTGTAAAGCTGTATTAAATTTACAGACCTGTGCAGTTCTGTCACTTGTTTGAATCGGACCCACTGGTATATTTCATTAGTGCTCAGCTTTGATGTGTAGGTTTCCTAGAAAATCTGAACAAGACGGATTCACCATTTTATATTCCCTTACACTCATCAAATGTTTCTAACCCTGTGAAATACAAGCCCGAATTAATAAACTTCAAGTCTGAGAAACTAGATGTGCTGGGGAAAAAAAGTACCTTCTTACCAGATTGACAATTGTTGTAATTTGGAATATATGTCAGATTTGGGCCGATGCAGCATGGCTAGCACATTTGTCACTCTCAAAAGCTCGTATGCTTTATACCGATCCAAGTATTTGTGAAGGAGAGATACAATCCTGAAAACCAAAAAGATATACATTGCAGCATTAAGTTTCAAGTTAGAATGTTCTTTAGAGTGACCTGTTGTTATTCATACCAGACAACAAGCAGCAAAGTACAATTTTAAAATAAGTGGACCTAATCCATTCTCTTGCAGCAATTTGTATTTAATTCTTAGGGTTTTTTGGCCTGCCATATAGTATAGTACTGTCTGGAATAAAAATAACATCCCAGTTAACACCATTATCCTAATCACTGAACTTCCACCCAGCGATGACAACTGGAGTTTTACCCCACTTCAATAATGTCCTTCCGTATTTTGAGATAATTATTCTGAAATAACATGCAGTTCCATATTAGTCAATCTAAGCCCCAAGTGTTTAACCTTCTTCTCAATTTTAAAACCCGTTTTATTTATCAGGGTTTCTTGATCACACAGTCTTATTTTTAACTGACATCTTTCTTCTTTGCTTATTTACGATATTTTAAATCCAGCTAATGCATTAAAATCTTTTGGTTTCTTTCATTAAATATTCTAAACCATTCTTGGCTTCTTGTATAATCGAGATTAAAGCAATAGCAAAAGACCCTATTTTATAAGGCTTTAAATTTTCAAGCCTATTGTTTTCTCATCCTGTCTGATATCGCTCTTCAAAACTTTTAGAACTAAAATAAAAACCAGAGGTGACATCCTTCTCTATAGCATGATCATAAGTGTGTCTAGCTGATTGCAAGTTTTTACTTCAAAAAAATCCATTTAGACTTGGGGTATAATACTAAGTAAGTACTATAACACGCAGTGTTATATGTTGACTAAATTATACCCAGACAGATGCTCACAAAAATAAAGAAAAACTTAAAACACGAATAGGATTCCTATATTGTATTAGAGGATTACTTTTGAATCAGTAGTGGATTTCTGTATTGTACTTCTTGCATTTTTTCTGCCACAATTAACGTTTGGTACCCATCCAAATTATCTGCGATTAGTAGGATCTTTTCACTTAACCTAAAAAGAAATGCACATATATTTATATATTCATATAAATGTTTCTGATAGAAAACCTGCCTGAGCATTCAGAGAATTCATCATTCTTACTTTTAAAACACAGTATGCTAATCAACCAAGAACAAATTTTTACCAAAGAAATATTTTGAAAGCCATTGAAAAGTGTAGAAATTCAGATGAATATCACAGTTAATTTTCTGCAAATAAAAAACTGGTGAAATTTTCAAGTCAAAGTTTATTAGGGATTTTGACCTGACAGCAATATGAAATATTTGCTACCAATTCCATGTGTCCAAGAGTGCGCCTACTGACTGCTTTACAGGCAGTCCTCGACTTACGAACCCTAATTTGGTCCGTTTCTGTTGCTAAGTGAAACATTTGTTAAGTCAATGTTGCCCCATTTTATGATCTTTCTTGGGACAGTGAATCACTGCAGTTGTTAAGTTAGTAACACGGTTGTAAAGTGGATCTGGCTTCCCCATGGATTTTGCTTATCAGAAGATCACAAAAGGTGATGGCATGACCCTGGGACACTCGAACCGTCATAAAAATGAATCAGTTGCCAAGGATCTAAATTTTGCTCACGTGACCATGGGGATGCTCAATGGTTGTGTGAAAAATGATCGTAAGTCACTTTTTACAATGCATTGTAACTTTGAACAATCACTTAAGGAACTATTTGTAAGTCAAGGATTGCCTCTACTTCCGAGCCTAGCCCAAGTTTTTCTATTACCTGAGAGTATTCCATCTTTTCAATTACTGTGCTTCCCAGGAAATAAGACCCAACCAGAAAATAAATCCTAGCATGATTTTTCAGGATGCTCATAAGCCCTACCTCCCAAAATAAGCCCCAGTTAAGATCATTAGCGTGCTTCCCCCTAGGCCTCTACCTCTGCCTGCTGCTTGGAGAGCCAGCTCATTGGTCACAGCGCTCAGACTCACCTGCAACCACAAAGTGTGCCAGCCAAGAGGCTGGCGGGCTGCTGCTGCCTGACACTGTTGACCTCTGCGTCTCACTGCCTCCTGTGCTGGCCATGACCCCCAAGGCCTGATAATCTTAACTGGGGCTTATTTTGAGGGTAGGGCTTATATTACGAGCATCCTGGAAAAATCATGCTAGGGCTTATTTTCTGGTTGGTCTCATTTTCAGGGAAACACGCTAGTACAATCCCTGTCTGGCAGAGTGACGGCAATTGGAAATTAGAAATCAAATGTAAATAAATGTATGCCATGCATGCAATACAACAGCATTGCTTTTATTTTGAAAGCAGCTGCCTTTTTCCAATTTACATATGTGCATGTGTGTGTGCCTATGCACCTTCACGGCTCCAATTTCTCATTAATTGCCCCCCCCCCATCTAGCATATCCCAAACAAATATATTAACAAGGAGTGAAAAATAGAATCATCATAGTAATTCATCCTGTAGGAACAATGACTTTCACACCGCAAACAGAAATATTTTGCTAAACATTGTAACAAGTTTTTTTTAAAAAATAGCAACATAAACCAACATAATTAAAGAAATATTTTTAGATATAATTGACAAAGTTTCACATGACTTGTGGCCATTTGCGACACCTGCTTGTGGAAACGCTTTTCAAATGCTGAATTTGCAATAATATTTGAGTTAAGATTTAAAAGGAAAAGAAGAAATTGGGATATTTTGTTTTTGTTTTGGTTCAGGGAAGGGAAGGGAAGGGAAGGGAAGGATAATTCACCTGGATACAGGCAATCATTTATTTAGAAGCCAGGACCACAACCTGCAAAGAATGTAATTCCTTATGAAGATAATTAATTAATGCTTGACATTTTGATTTCCTGGTTTACAGCCTATATTTATGAGGAAATAATCTCTCAATAGCAACAGTGTATATGTAAGTCATAATTTCAACTTTTTCATTACTCTTAAAAAGACAATACACAAATAAATCAGCAAAACAACAAATACACTTACTCTTTTTGCATCTCTTGCTGTACTATGGGTGCAAGATGAACGAATAGTTGCATGACGTTCAACGGACTAGTGCAATTATCTTTATGTTCTATCAGCTTTTCTTTGGCAAGTAATCTAAATTCGGTGTTGTTGAATTGTAAATTCTGGTAGAGTCCAAGAATGATAGAAATGTCCTCAACATGTAACTCATGTGAATGCTGGACAAAAATATTGTTACATTTTTTCAGCAGTGGCCAGTGCGGAAAACTGACATTCCGGAGAAACTGTACAAATCGCCTGGCATCATTGACTGAGATGTTTGTTTTTTCAAACAAGCCGTCTGCTTTTTCTGTTAACCGTTTTTTAAAATTCCATGAGATAACAGGAGATATGCAGTTCATTACAACTGACAAAGCCCTAAAAAAACATATTTAAAATATTATGCCTATTCATTTCATCAGAAAAATCTAACAATGCTTAAGAAAACGGCATTGAGTAAAGAGAAAAAGAGAGGGTGGTTTTAAACAGGATCTATTCGAGCATTTATGTTAAGTAACTACTTGAAATTGGGAGCAGACAAATGTTACATAATAAAGCTTTTGCCTTTCAGCAATGCTTTTCTTCTTTTAAAAGAAACCCACCTGTCTAATTATTTCTCCTCATTATGAAGACTACAGTGCTTACAGGCAAAACAACTAAAAAGCATTCATATGCACGTAAGCTCAAATGGGATAGTAGCTAAGATTGCTCCATTGAAATTAAGCTTCACTGAGTTCATTGAAAGGGGCTTATTTCTGAATAGATATGTGTGGTATAAGACAGGGGTCCCCAACCCCTAGGCTGTGGACCGGTACCAAGTCATCGGCCCATTAGAAACCAGGCCGCATAGCTAGAGGTGAGCGATGGGTGAGCGAAACTGCACATGCAGTTTCTAGGGATCTAGAATCCTCCTTCCCACCACCCCCAGTCTGTGGAAAAATTGTCTTCCATGAAACTGGTCCCTGGTGCCCAAAAGAGGACCTGGGGACCGCTGCTATAAGAGATTGATTTGAAAAACAATGTACCCCTACTTCAATTCACAAGGCTATCTTAGCCTCAGCTCAGCTGCACACTGCTACTGAAGTAATAATACTGATTTACAGGCAAGTTTACATATGGTTAGGCTTAGGATAAATGATTCTAGAAAAAAACATCCAGCTAGCTAGACAAGATTCAGCAAGCTGGGAGACCCAGAGCCACGTAATGCTTTTCTTATAACATCAGCCATTCCCAATTAAAAAGCAAGCAACTCCTTCATCATTAAAAAAACAACAACCCACCAATCAATGAATAGAGACATTAACTCGTATTTTAAATTACACTTGAAAGTACTTCAGGCATTATAGGCAGTTCTTGACTTATGAATGGTCTGTTCAGAGTTATAATACACCCCAAAAAAGTTACTTATGATTTTTAAGTATAATATGTTGCTCCATCCCCACAGATACATGATTGCATCTTGCAGATACATGATTGCATTTTGGGTACTTGGTGACACGACTGCGTTTTGCAATTTTTAGGGTCATTTTCTAGGAAAATATGTCTATTGAATAAGCTGGATGTGGACCACATTATTCACTTAATGGCCATGATGTCTTGCTTAACAACTGTTGTAAATATGGTCATAAAATTGAGTTCAGTCATGAGGTGACTCAACTTACAACCAAAATTCCAGGCTCAATTGTGGTCATAATATGAGGGCTACCTGTATTTAAAAACCCCAAACTATGTTGTCTCCACAATAGGGCACGTTCAATTATACATCAGTTCTACAATAAGCTAAGTTGAGAATATTCAGTACTAACTGAACTAGTATCAACTAGTTCAGGGGTCGGCAACCTGCGGCTCTGGAGCGACATGTGGCTCTTTCACCCCTCTGCTGTGGCTCCGTCACTCAAAATATGCGTCACAACCGCTAATGTACGAAACCCACCTCCACACTATTTATTGAGCTTTTCAACTGCTGGTAGGCCAACCATGGATAAATCGAAGAAAAGACAAGTTTCAGAAGAAAACAGAACGTTAAATTCAACTACATATGCTAGTTTTGTGGCCACTCAAGAAATAGTCAAGCACAGGAAGGGTTTTGTGGCTCCCGGTGTTTTCTTTTCTGTGGGAAATGGATCCAAATGGCTCTTTGAGTGTTTAAGGTTGCAGACCCCTGAATTAGTTGATACTAGTCAATATTAAACTTCCTTCCAGGCTCTTTTAAGTTCTTTGTACTACACACCCAAAGCTGTCTGTCTATATTCGTGTCAGAAGTTGGGTTCATGGGAACAATGAGGACATGCTTTCCTTATTAATTCTCTCCATTTTAGGGGTGTCAAACTCCCATTGTCACAGTAGTGTAACGTGACGTATCGAGACTTTTTTCCCCTTTGCTAAACCGGGTGTGGCCGTGGCCAGTATGTGACGCATCCAGTCCATGGGCCGGGAGTTTGACAGCCCTGCTCCATTTAATCTTTAAAGACTTGTAAATCTATGGCTAGAATCTTTATTAAATAAAAATTACCTTGAATCCTGTATGGAATCCAATTTCTTATCTACCACATTAGCTATTTCACCCATGAGTGGACTATGATGTAGATGCTGTTCATGTACACACAATGAAAATTTAGATAGCAGAGGTGGAGTCAATCTGAGGATCACAAAGACAATAAAGTTACTGTGCCAAAGGCCTACAGATAAACTAGGTCAATTTTTGCTATTTCTCCATGAGTACTCTATATACTTCCTAAGGAGAAATTTGCAGCTTAGAACCTTAATCAAGTAAATGTAGAAAAGCCTTCCAGAAAGCATTCAATAACTTCAGGGTATAAAGCAATTGGAATTCATTGTCACCATAAATTCCAGTTTAAATACCCACCTACTTCCTCTCTTTAAGGAATTGCTATTAAACTTAAGATCAATTCAGCTCCAGCATAAATGCACCCTTAATATGCTGGATCCAAAGCACAGGTAGTCCTCAACCTGTTCGTTTAGTGACCGCTTGAAGTTACAACAGCACTGAAAAAAGTGACTTATGACCATTTTTCACACTTATAGCTGTTGTAGTCTCCCCAATAGTCACATGATTTACATTTGGATGCTTGACAGCTGACTCACATTTATGATGACTGCAGTGTCCCGGAGCCATGTGGTCCCCTTTTGCAACCTTCCGACGAGCAAAGTCAATGGGGAAACCAGATTCACTTAACAACCATGTCACTAATTTAACAACTGCAGTGATTCACTTATCAAACGCGGCCAGAAAAATCTTAAAACGGGGCAAAACTCACTTAACAAATTTCTTACTGAACAACATAAATTTTGCCTCAGATGTGATCATAAGTTGAGGACTACCTGTACGTTTCCTGCTTCAGATCTAAATACTGCGAAACTCTAGTATTTGAGGCTGCTCAGTGCTTCAGATTTAATTTGGAAAAAGTGCTGCAGAATGCACAGGACTACGAATAAAACATCTGACTGCCTTATATTCTTCCTACAGTTTCTGCTTACTTAACTAGTCACTCACAATTGACAACCAACAACCATCAGGGCACATCCTTCACAATCAGTAGCTATCGAGGATATGAGTTTTTTTACTCCTCAGAGCTGAGCCCAGGGTTCCTCAGAATAAGCAGATGGCCCCTTCGTCTCTTCCCCCCACTGAACTTCACCAGCAAATTTTTGTTTGCCCTCAGTTTGGACAAACTCCAGTGAGTGAATGTGGAATTCAGAATTGCGGTCTAAAGTTACTAATATTTATTTTGAATCAATAACTATAGCAACACAATCTTACGTGGATAGTTTCTACTTTTAACCTAATAATCCACGCAAATTTATCTAACGTCACAATTTGAGCCACCAACGTTCTATGAGACAAGAGAAAGGATTAAAAAATATTGCTGCTAGTGCTAATTTTGTGAGATTTATTCTGAGCATGAAATATTGATTTTCCAATTAATAGGAAAAGGAACAAACAGATAAAAAATATACTTGCTCGTTTAATCGCTTCCAGCCTTCTATAACCAACTCTTCTACAAGTGAGTCGTGGGCATCAACATCTAACCTTCAGAAGGAATAAAAAGTGAGCCAAACAAATTTTCATAGATGTTTTAGAGTTAAATAAATCTATATACTGATCAACAAATTGTAACTTGGTAGCATATACTGTATTTATTTTTGTTACACTACGTACATACATACATATATACATGCATACATACATACATATATTATTGCTCTGTATTTTGTATTCTGATATGGCCTTATGGCTGAACAATGAAATATTATTAATGGATTAATGCACCGAAGTTGGACAGAGTGCTATTTTCCTCTTTTCAAAATATACTTTTTAGCATATTTCTGAATTCCCCCCAACCCATAATGTAAAGTATTTTTCTAACTGTTAATAAATTAAATTACACATAACAACACTTAAAAGTATGCAACAAAACTTGTTCATATTCAACCTTGTGATGAATATGAACATCAGTAATTGACATTCTTTTCTATATACTTGAGGAACAAATGGGATGCTGGAGTTCTATTGCATTTTACTTCTGGAGCATTTCCCCAATTTTAAAAACTGATCTTAACTTTTATGCGGCAAAGATAGAGCACTGTACTTTATCTTGATTACACCTCTGTTTTGTTCCTTTGGTTTTTTGAAAAGTACATATATACAATTTTTTACAGCTGCTATAACATGATTTTTATGATTGCTAGATTGAACTTTTTCAAAAAGTATGAATTCTATAAGCAAATTTTAACACTTAATAAGTTTGCCTGTGCAACAACAGGCTATTTCCCTATATGTATACAAAAGCGATTCATTCTTAAAAATAAAATCAGACAATGAAAGCTTTGATTAAAATTAAATCTCATGCTACTTACCAGAGCACACTATATAACACATCCACCAATGCTTCATCATCCATACATTCAATCTTATTTTCTGCCAAGATGCGAAGCACAAAAAACTGAGAATGACTTCTTATATAATCCATAGTTTCTGATGACCAAGGCCTCTTCTTTTGAACTTGCACAAGTTTCTTAATTGCACTTTTCACATGTTTTTCAGAGAGTCTGGCTCTGTTCTTGGATACAAGACTGAACACTTGGTGTTCATTTGTAAAGTTATTGAGTTGGTTCAACAAAATGTCGCTGCTCCAAGTTCGACAGTTAAAACATCTTGTTGCAATTGGATAAAAACGTCTTAGGCAAAGCATATTCGTCATTTGGATGGGCTTTTTCTTCCAAGGGCATCCAGGACTTCTTTCTTCATTTCTGACTGCCAAAAGCATACATGAGGAAAAAAGAAATGTTATTTGCAGATATACAAATTTTATTTCCGTTACCATATAATATGAAGTGATTGTGGGAAAAATAAGAATGCAAAAGTTATTTGTCTACCAAGATATATTTTTATTAATAAGCCCCCCCATGCTTTAATTAAATACAAGATACTCTTATTCAGACTAACTATAAAAACTATAGTAAGAAACCATAGTATTCACATATCTTGTTTTCCTCCTATTCTTACGCTTGTTCTGGCATAGCAGTGAGGAGGAATTTAGGGAGTTTAGCATAATTTGGAAATTGACCCTAACTTGTCATGACCTCTAGCCATGGGTAACCATGCAATTATGTTTCTATGTCCCTGTCATTCTGTTTTTGTTTTGTTTTGTTTTGTTTGTTTTTTCTTTAATTTATATGCCGCCGTTCTCCAGAGACTCAGGGTGGCTTACAATGCGTTAAGCAATAGCCTTCATACTTTTGTATATTTATACAAAGTCAGCTTATTGTCCCCACAATCTGGGTCCTCATTTCACCTACCTTTGAAAGGATGGAAGGCTGAGTCAACCTTGAGCCTGGTGAGATTTGAACTTGCAGTAATTGCAAGCAGCAGATGTTAATAACAGTGTGCTTTAGTCCACTGTACTAACAGGCTCCTCATCTCATTCTAGGTATTCCAAATGGAGGCCTATGATGGATTCTATTTCCCTCCATCAATTCACACAGTCCTTCCTATCATGTAGAACTAAGTCTGGGTTTTTTATAAGAAGTATCATTATTATCATTATTGATTGAACATATGGGGTGCTGTATCAGTCAGGCTTCCACAACTTACAAACTAACGTTCAAGAAAATTAGATTAAAAAAATAAAAAAATACTGTTAAAAAAAAAAAGTTCAAGACGATGCCCAGGGTTTAAAAAAAGAAGTAATACAATTGAAATATCCGCCATAAGAAAAAAAATATATAAAATTAATTCAGAACCGTGGTAAAACTGAAAATACAACACAACTCATCACAAAACCAAATATAAGAAACGATAATTGAAAATGGATTTGAAAACATGGAATTTTAAAAGCCAAAGTAAAAAAAAAAATTATTTGAATACTCAGAGTAGTAATTTTACTTTGAGGATTTGAGGAAACTTTGAGGAAACTTAACTAAGTTTGCCTTTCTATCATTACTACAACATTTTGCCTAGTCTGAGGAAAAACAGGTATCTGGCTAGCTCCGAGGATATAGAATCAGAATCAGAAAGCTTAAGAGCAGGTTTGCATGACAGGTGGAACCTATTGGGGTGAGAACTATTAATGAAATACTAATCTGGTTGTTCAATCCAGTCAATCCAGCAAATCTAGGGCAATCCTTTTGTAAGACTGTTCTCATTTTATACAACATCCCAGTCAACTTTTCTGCTTTATTTCCCATCCAGTTTTTAAAAGAAATGAAGTATTTATGATACTTAAATGGGGGTGGAGTAGGGGGACTCCCTATACCTTTGTTTACCATTCCATGTGCCTCATTTTTGCGAGGATTGAAAACAAATGTGAAAACAGGTGGCACCATTAGATCAGCCCTGTTTTCCATCTTCTTCAACCTCTCATGTTTAACTCCAAACATTTTGTCTGGATCCAAATTACCAAAAAGGTGGCAACTTCCAGGAGGCAGCAATGTGGCCCAGGGATGCATAGCCTGACTCCTTCCTTAACATGAGATTCAGAGATGTTCAAAAAGTAAGATGACGGCCATGTGGGGAATAGGCACAAGGCCTGTGAGGTCTCCATAGGGCAGGATGGGCGTGGGGGGGGAGAGCCAGGAGGATGCTGCAGTGTTCCTGTGATCAGTTTTAAGAGCGAATGACCATAGGGGAACTGCAGCACCTGTAACTTCAAAATGAAGTTGTAAGTAGCTTTGGGGGGGGACCTGTCATAAATTTGAGTTCCCATTATATCTCGAGGATTACCTGTACCCTGATTCGTTTTAGCTACAACTTAATACAAGGTTGATTTGAAAGATATGCCAAATTCAAAAGTAATCCAACTTTCCATGTTGTGCAAATGGAGCTTATATTCAGAAATGTGCATTTAAATCAGATTTTCTTGGCTGAAGTGAACTCTAAGAGATCATTGCCAAAGAAGATCATCTTACTGCAGGACAGATGAAGTCCAGATTCCTTCACAATTACAATATTTTTGTTTTTTGAAATGAATAAAATAAGCATGGCGATTTTAAAGAACTGCAGGTGGCTGCTATGTCTACAAATTCAGAATGATGCATAACTCGGGCATATAAGAGCAGGAGACATTTGTCATAATTAAGAAAATCAAGAGAAAGCTATTAGTTTGGCCATTTCTTTGATTTAAAGCAGACGTATCCAACCTGCTGCCTGCCTGCGGTGGCACAAGATCATAAACTTTTAACTTTATACACACACATATATATTAACTGTATATATGTGTGTATAAAGTTAAAGGTTTATGATCTTGTGCCACCGCAGGCAGGCAGCAGATTGGATACGTCTGCTTTAAATCAAAGAAATGGCCAAACTAATATTTTTCTCTTGATTTTCTTAATTATGACAAATGTCTCCTGCTCTTATATACCAGTTCCTCTTCCCTCAATGCGGCCCCCAGGCAAGTTGGGCACGCCTTACTTAAACATTGAACCATCATAGCATCAAAATTAAAATATGAATATGCATGGTATTTCCCAAATGATTGCTGGGTAATTTTAGAAGAACTTATAAAACCCTAAAGAATTAATGGCTTATGTTTTTGTTAATGTTACAAACAGTGGCTTAAAAGCGAATCGTCTTCATTTCATGAAAACTGCATAAGAAACAATTCAACAACAGCGAGCATGTTCAATATTTTTGTAATAGCATGTATTATTTTCATATTACACCAATTATTGTAAATATATGATTTACATTTCTGGCACCGCTTCAATAGCCTTCTTACTGCTAAGCCCCACAAAGTTTCTCAGAGACACTCCCTGGTTCGTATTTTAGTTTTTATAAAAAACAAAACAAAACCCGTTTTATTTTCCAAACGTTTGAAATTTTTATTCTTCCAATAAGTACACAATCTGCGACTGTAGCGAGTACCATCATTGCATAAAGGCAATACATCCTCTTTCCCAAAAGCTGGAATTTCAACAAGGAAGCATAACATGAAAAAGACAAGACAGCATCTGAAGCAAAATCTTTCCAGACAACTGCAACGTCTTTGACGAAGACACATATTTAAGGTAGGCATAAGAATTCCATCACAATCTTACAAGAAAAAGAGGAAGAATACAGCACTGTCTCTCATCTAAGCAGTTAAAAACCACCTTTGGCGATGGAAATTAACGCAGAAGCGGGGATACGACCTTCCGATACGATGTACTCGACTTCGCGTGTATCGAAGCGCATTGCTTTAGATGTGGAAATCAATACCTAGCTGAACTCTGCACAAACCGCTGAAATTCTCCCCTCCGTAGGATGCAAGATACAGCAGCCCGCCTCTTTCTCCAGGAGCGAATTAAACCCATGCGGTGCCCTCCGGGCGGCCATGCTACCAGTTAGCAAAGGTAGACGCCCCACGAATGACCCGCCGCCGGCTCCTCCTCGAAGATCACGTGGTGCAAAAGCCACTCTGGTTGAGTGAAAGCCTCCCGCGGAATCCCGCCTAAAGGTACAAAAAGCGCCTTGAGAATCGCGGCCCCGTATCCGGCCGTTTTAAAAATAACGAAGTTAAATCGTACTTCCTCGGCTTCCGTAACTGTCTGTTCAATGCCCGCTCAAAGCAATCTGGTCCTGTCCTCCATTTCCCGGCGTGCCTCGCCGACCAAGCTCGCTGCCTTTCGGGAATTGTAGTCTTTAAACGGAAGGACGCTTGGGTCTCGCAGGCGGGAATTCAGACGTTGGTGATGTAAAATTAAATAAAAAAATAAAAAAAATAAAGGCCAATTTCTACTTCTGCCTGTGCCGTATCTTGATTGTACTGGTTAGTAATTTCTTCGATTGTTATGAGCCTCCCGGGATCGTGAGTTGGGAGGGAGAAAACTTGAATAAATTTATTTTTCTTAGAAAATTTATATCGCCGCCTATTCGCAGATGGCGACTCAAGGCGGCTTACAGGGATATGAAAACTATCGTTTAAACTAATAATTATTATCATTTAATAAATTATTAGTGTTATATCTATATTGCGAAGTGATTTACCGAAAAAGTTGGGAGATTTTATCAAATTTGGCAAGAGATGGAACTTAAGGTTCGCCTTCCGTGGGACAAACTGAATTATTAACGAGTGATTGGAAAGTTACATACGACACACACCGGCGGGTGAAAAGGAGATGTTGGAAACAGCAGGAAGGGTAATCAAAATCAGTGACAACGAGTGTACCGTACATCAAAAGGACGGACCGTGAGCCTTTATTATGAATAACTGAGCTGTCAATGGTGTCGAAATATCGCTTTCCAGGTCCTGTCCGCCCGAAAGCCTAGGTAGGACATCCTGTTCCAGTATAGCTTGATCCTTCTGGATATTTTTATTGTACAAATACCGTTTTCCTACATGAACGAATCTAGTCGTGTGGCGTAGACTTAGCAATAAGAGGCGCCGTCGTGCCTCGGTTTATCGGCCTTGTAATGGGACAGGGCGGCTTGAAACGCTCCTCTGAAAACTGAGGGATAGGTTTTTACCAGCCGCGGAAACAGAAAGGCGAGCGAAGGGCGACATTCCCTTCGTTTCCTTCGCCGCCGATTCCGAAACAGAAGCCAAGGCCGGGAGCCCGCCAGAGGCAGTTTGCCCAAGAGGACGACGAAAAAAAAAAAAAAAAGGCCCAGCTGCGGAGCGGGGATCTTGAAGACCCTTCTTTGCCCGCCTTGCCGAAGTGCCAAGCGGAACCGCCTTTGCCGCCAGAGCTTCTGGCTCTCCTCCAGCACGTCGACACACAAACACACACGCGGCCGTGCTCCCCTCCTTTCTGCCCGCGCCAGCCTCCAGCCGCTCCGGGTTTCCCGCTTCGTCCCCTCCTCCACTGACGCAGTCCGTCTGCACCAGATCCTAACATGGCGGCGGCGAGGTGGTGAGGAGCGCGGCCGGAGGGAGGTTTGAAGGGCCGCAACGGAAAGGGCCGGGTGAGTGGCCAAGAAGAGCCCCGCGGCCAAGCGGGTTCCACACGGAGGGACCGGAGGCAAATTTCGGAGGGGAGGGGAGAGGGAGGGTGGCCCTCGGGGGAAGAGCGGAGCGGGCGGGAGAGAAAGGAGGAAGAGAGGGAGGCTCGCTCTCTTCCAGTTTGAATCTGCCTCACGTTGACTCGTGGGGGCGGGGGTGAACGGGGAGAAGAGGCCCTTTCCCCCCTCATTTAGAGTCAGGGGCTGATCCTGAGGGCCTCGATGAGGGAAGCATCGCCCTCTCCACAGGTCGAGGGAGGAGGAGGAGAAGCAATTTCGCCTTGAATGGCTGAGGGATATAATACAGGGCCTTCGACGGGTGGGAAAGGGGCGAGAGGGAGGGGGGAGTCCTCGGGTTTTAATAGTGATTTGTAGGGTTTGTTTCGGGCAACTTGTGCAAGGGGTGGGTGGGGACGACAGGAACCCGCGGCTCTTCTCTCGCAAGTATCACAATGAACAAAATTAAAGCTATTCCCCCCCCCCCCGCTCTCCCTTTTCCCTCCAGTTTGTAGAAATAAATCTAGGCTGATTTAAACGGTCTTTTAAATGAAAGATTCATCATAAATAAATAAACTTTGGGGAAAAAGAGAAGACAGATAATGGGACAATTGCTCCGAATAGTAACCAAAGTAAAAAGGTTTTTTTTAAAAAGGCGAATAGTAAGAAGTGGTGAAATTAACAGACACAATGGGAAGAGGAGAGGAAACTAAATGAATCAATTTACACCAAGTGGGATGCACTTAAATAATACTCCAGCTCTGTGTTGTTATTCCTTTTGTATTGATCTTCCCACACTACTACAGGAACTTGCCAACTATTAGTTATCATATATTCCAAAATCATCACTTTATTTGAAAAATAGATCTCCTTCACATGTTGCTTATTGCTATACTATAGTTTTGAAATTCTAAACAAAAACTTAAGCAATGATTTTTTTCCAAATGTACAAATTATATATAAAGATATGTGCTCTGAAGGATAAGGAGATGATGAAGTAGTACAACTTTATGCTTTTCAGTTATAACCATTTGTGTCTTCAGGAATTTGAAACATCCAAAAGGCACAGATTCATTTTGCTTTGGATTTCCTAAGTGAAAGCAAAATTTGGCTCTTGATCTCTCTACTCCCTCAGTTTTCCTTTTCTTAAACATGAGAAAAATGTATATTCAGTGCAAGGTGTGGGAAGATATTTAATAGAATTACAGATTTGATTATTGATGCAACATTATTTATTTATTGGATTTTTATCTTAGCTTTATTACTTTATAAGAAAGTGGCGAACATAAGAAATCAGGAAAAATATCCAATATTTATTATAGTGGTTATTGCAGTTGGTTTTTTAAAATCTATTTTTAAGCGATTTGTTTAATACTTGTTAGTTGATATAGTTGTTTTCATAAGGCATTTGAAAATTGATGTACATGCTCCTTTAAATTAGTAGTATCAGCATGGGAATTTGCTTTGCCTAAAAATTTTAGGAAACAGAAGAGAGAATTCAAGAACCCTGTAATTAAAGATATGTTTATTGAAAGTTCATTTCATAATGGATTATTCTATACATCTGTCATTCTGGATCAATTTTTTTTTTCTTTTTCTTGTTTTTTTTATAGTCTTAAGAATCACTGTATTGCAAGCTGTACTGGAAGTGATTTACTTCAATTCCATTGTTTTGGGTTTGGTAGTTAAATTTGTGATACTAAGTTATTTAGGAAAGCCTAAAGCAAACTTTAAATTTGGCAACAATAAAATGAAACATGAGACTCAATGTAAATACATCATATAATAAATACATTTATGAAATAACCAGCCACAACTGGGATAATGTATAAGCATCCAGTGGCTCCTTATTAAATAAAAATTGTAATATTAGAAATTATTCAGAAAAGAGAAATGAAAACAGTTGAGAGATTGCAGTTCTTTTTATTCTGTGTGTTGTTCAGCTACTTTAGTCACTTCATGGTGATAGCAATGCAATGACAGTTTGGATTGTTATTGCCAGTGGAACTTGGTATATGGTGGATAGTTAGTTTTGCACAAAGGATCCCAGGAACCCCATTATAAAATGGGATCATTGAAATCTAAGATAGGGTACTTCCTAACAGTTGGGCTTGAGTCATCACTCTGCATTGGATTTCATGGGTCCTATCACTGTAGAGCCTCTTTTCCACCTGAGGGACCCAGGCAGGAGGTACCAATGTTGGCATAACAAGCCACCTGAAATAAACCTGAAATAGACATGGCGGTATGAGGGTGCTAGTAAAAGACTGGAGATCAGGCTACAGTCCTGGCCAGTGCAAAGCTAGGAGTTGAATCATCCCTCTGCCTGTCGGGCCCAGGTTTTGTATTAGGTCACACTTTCTTCTCAGCTTGGAGCTGTGGGCATCAACATTTGCAATGAACCCAGTAAATGCCATGATTTTGCCTGGGAAACATAAATCAGATAAATAGAGATGAGGGAGAGAACCAGAAGATGCCAGCTCATCTGGGACCCAAAACAAAACGAGATGCTTCATTCACTGTATGCACAGGAGGGTAACAGATTGATGATTTTGGTTGCTCTCTCACTTATTAATACCCATTAAAGTAATAAGGGAGCATGCTGCCTTTGGATGTAGATTTCACTTGCTAAGCATGCCATGTTGGGCGTACTCATTTTTAAAGTACTGTTGCCAGCTATAGAAAATTATTTGAAGGGCCACATTTGGCCTGTCTTCTATGAGTTCATGCTTAAAAAAAATAGGGGTAGCTTATGTTTTTTGAAGAGAACATTTAAACCACACTGTTTTTTATCAATCCACCCCAGGGTAATATTATGGGAAAATTGTTTTGTAAAACTTTTTTTGTAAATGTCAAACTTTTTGTAAAATCTTTTTTACATATAAAAATTTAAAGTTATTTATTGAATGTTGCCTAAACTGAAACACAAGACACATATACAAGAGTGAGTTAGCATCATTTTGACCATTCAAGGAATTAATAAGCTGTTTTGCCTTAATAACAGAGGAAGGAGTTCTGTTGTCAAAAAGCAGACCACTTATTTTTATTTGGCTTCTTAAGGAGTACTGGTTTATTAAATGCATGTAAAATAACATATGCTAACAAGGTCTCAATTATTTACGGCAATGGACAACTTTCAGAAAATTAAATGTACATGTTCTCCCCAAACACAAACCATAATTTGCATACTGTGTCTCTTAATGTTAAAAAAATCCCTCTCAATCTGCCTTTGTTTCCACTTTGTTTAATCAAGCTTCTACTCAGTTGCTATAAAAAACAAGACTAGACAGGATTTTCTGTGTGATCCAGCAGAGCTACTGTTAACCAATGAAAGCTGGTAATAGATACTGTATTTAGCAAAAAAAAAAAGGGGGGGGGTATGATCCTAAATTTTAAACCTCTTTACTACTGGAAGTTAGACAGAAAACCTTTTCCTTCATGCCCTAAAATAGGAGTGTCAAACTGGCAGCCCGTGGGCCAGATGCATTATATGCAGATCTCATGGCCATCCTAGCTCCACAAAGGGGAAAACATCGCTATACGTCACATGACGGCAACATGTCGCCACGAGTTTGACACCCGTGCCCTAAAGCAAATGGTTTGGGATTAAACCTAGTTTTCTTTCAAGTCCATATAGTATTAGGAGAATTTGTGCATATAAACAATTATATCCTAACCTTTAAAATATTTAGTTTGGCTTCTATGTAAGAAAGACATGGGATCAGGTTACCTGACGGACTGTCTCTCCGCAATTACATCTATCCACCCCATCCAGTCTAGAGGGTCATAATGCATGTCCCATCAGTTATAGTATTGTTTGGCAGGACCCAGGAAGAGAGCCTCTCTTGTGGCACCTGCCCTGTGGAACATGATTCCCCCTCCCCAGACTGGCTTGACCCTCACCTTGCTGACTTTTCACAAGGCCCTGAAGACTCTGGGGAGCCAGGAATATGGTGGTCCTGGTACTGTGACTAAAGTAAACGTTTTGATGAATGGCATTGCCGTGGTTGTTTTATGTCATGGTTTTTATATGCTTTCAAATTTTTTCTTGTTTTCAAATAGTTGTATAATATTACTCTTTTTTGTTATATTTGTTTTAATTGCTGCTTAGCTGCCAAGAGTCACATATATGAGAAAGGATGACTATATAAATTTGAATAATAAAAAAAATGAGAATGAGAAAGCAATGCAGGTAGCCCTCGACTTATAGCCACCATTGAGCCCAAAATTTCTGTTGATAAGCAAGACAGGTTAAGTGAATCGTGCCTCATTTTACAACCATTCTTGCCACAATTGTTAAGGAAATTGCTGAAGTTGTTAAGTGAATTATGCAATTATTAAATAAATCTGTCTTCCCCCATTGACTTTGCTTGTCAGAAGCCAGCTGGGAAGGTTACAAATGTTGAATCACATGTCCCAAGGACACTGCAGCTGTCATAAATACATGCCAGTTGCCAAGTGCCCAAAATTTGATCACATGACCATGGATACGTTGCAACGGTCATACATGTGAAAAATGCTTATAAGTCCCCTTTTTCAATACCGTTGTAACTGAATGAATAAACTAAACGAATAGTTGTGAGTTGAGGACTGTAAGTTGTATACTGTATCTATTTCAGTTTCGTGTGTTTGCAATTACATAAGGCATTGGGAATCAAATATAGTTTTTAGCTCTTGTATAAACAACAGTTGAAAATGTAGAATTTAGAAGTTCAAAAGAGAAAGCAGTGTGGAGCATTATACTTAATTCTTTGACTTTTTTCTTCACATTAATAGTGCTTCTATCATGATCTAGAGAACACTGGAAATTTTGATATAACTAGAATAAATAATACTGATTTGAAATACACTAATTTTAAGTTGCAGAAAAATTAGGGAACTTCTAATTTATAGACAAGTTCTCAGTAAAAGGAACATGTTTTGGTTTGCATTCAATAAACTTCAATATGCTTATCAATATTAGTTTTATATTATGCAAGAAGTGAAATTGTGAAAAGTGAATTGTTTATTTTCTGTTTCTAGCTTTAACCTGAAATTTGGCCAGTTCTCCATGTTTTCGCATATGTTGCCTCATCAGTGTTTGTCCTGTCATATATGAAATAATACCAAGTAGAAGGACCATTAAATATTAATCAGATCCATCTGTTTTTCAATATTACAGGAAGGGTATACACTAGTGTGAACAGTCATAGATGAAATAGGAAGATGCTGTGATTTATGTTATGCTGGAGAAATCACCTTTTGACAATCAGATTCTAAAAGATTTGTCTTTTCTGGATTCATAACTGTACAAAAAATTAATTTACTTTGTGCCTTTGTAAGGGAGGATTGGTGTAACACTATCCATTTGCATATATTCTCTTCTCTACATTTATTTAATGTTAGCCATCACTCACTGCAAATCCAAACCAGAATTTGCATCCATATATAGTTTTATAGATTAATATTGTAATAAACAAACCAGAATGACTTGGCTGTGATGCATTATTTTCAGATTTGTTGAAATGGGACAGTATCAAATTTTTATAAAATAAAATATTTTATAGAAACTTAAATATTTTGCATTGTTGAATGGTTCTTTCATCCTGTCATTTGGTGTCTGCCTGATCACCTGGTATACTGGAATAAATTGTAAGGGAGTGGTAAATGTGGTAAAGGAGAGGTGGAAGGAAAAGGTCATACAGTAGTAATGTGTTCACTGCTTAGCATATCACTGTTCTGTTTTTCTTCCCCAGTGTTAGAGGGACAAACAATAACGAATTGGAAATTGATTGTTAACAGAGTTTGGACTGGTCCAATGTGGTCATTCCTAAATATAAATACTAAGTATTGTGTTCATTTTAGAACCCATAAAAATAATCCAACCAAAATATTTTCAGTGCAATATTGTTGTCTATATGTATATATTTTTCTCTGCACGAAATAATAAAGCCTTGTAATATGCCTATCATTGTTATTAGTAACTCTACAGTTATGCTGTAGTAAGATGGGCAGCCAATAAATTTAATAAATAAATAAATTAGTATGCTATAATCAAATATCCTTACGATTTGTATTTCTATTTCAGATATAACATTCTAAAGCCATGGGAGTGAAAACACAAAGACCTCGTTGTTTTTTTGACATAGCCATCAATAATACCCCTGGTAAGACTGCTGGTTTCAATGTTAAATATTGAGCCTATCTGAAAATGCATAGGTAAACTGATTTAGAATAAGTTTATATTTATATATTGGTTATATTTATTTCCATGCATCAAGCTTGCCTTCTTAAAGTTAATTAATATAAATGTAATGTTTTTTTTTTCTTAATTTTAGCTGGAAGAGTTGTCTTTGAATTATTTTCAGATGTTTGCCCAAAAACATGTGAGAACTTTCGCTGTCTTTGTACAGGTTTGTAGATATTTTTCCTTATTTGCATAATTTGCTATATAAATCTAATGCTGATTTAATTGTTCTTAAGAATAATGTCACAAGGTGCAAAAAAAATCTAACAATATTACATATTTATCTTAAACTCGATAAGTATAAATATATTTGTTTATGATCTATTTGAAGTATTTTAGTATTCATACATAAAATACTTTAATGACTATCTGTTAAATGTCATACACTTTAGTAATTTAAAAACATGGTCACTTGGGATTGTATTGAAATGTGGAACCATTTAGATTAGTTAAAGTTTTCAGAGAATTCTTAGTGTTTCTTTCTATAGTCAGAAAAACAGGGAAAACTGGATGATTCTAAGTCTGAAAAAAAATTCTCCACTGTCATATTGGAGCTCAAGAGGAATTTTGTTAATTCTGACTAACTCTTGAATTTCATTTAGGTTCTTAGAGAAGACACTTGCCCATATCTTACCATAATATCTTCCTCCCTTCACTCACACCTTGCTGAACAAATGATTGTAACTCGAGGGCCACTTAAATGCAGGGTATACAGGTCTACTCTTTCATTCTGAGACACACACAAAAACCAACTATAGCTTCCCCCCCCTCCTATTTCTTTAGCACTCTACAGCCATTTTGTTATCTGAAACAAAATGCAAGCAAGCCTATCCGTGAATAGTGGTGCCTTACATTTGATAAGTTAACTGAAGTTTCAGACCACTTTATTATACAGGTAGTCCTCATTTATAACTGCCTCAGATAGCAACTGTTTACAAATACAATGGGAATAAATGGTATTAAAATTATTTTCCAACCAATACATACATTTAGGTTCAAATTTTTGCACCTGACAACAGTGCATGCCAAAATGACAGTAACACTGGCATTGCTGCACAAGGGAACTATCTAAATGAAATGGCAGCATCCAGTAATCTTTGCAGTCTCCCTTCCTTTTTCTCTATCATGTTGTTTGCTTAGTGACCATTTCATTGTAATCAATTTCAATTGCTAAATGAGGACTACCTGTATGAATTAACAAATGGGTACAGTTCTGTGGATTTTGCCTATTATATAGAAATATTTCACATTCCTTTTTACTACTATTAGTACTGTATGGCCCCTTTTTTCCTTTTAGTGGCTTAGTATTTAGAGTTTTTTTTAAAAAAACCAAAAGCTGATTTACAATTTTACTTGTATTTCATTATGTGAGATTCTGTCACTAATGTTTAATGTGCATTAAACTATTTCTTCTTTGTAGGTGAAAAAGGTATTGGAAAATCAACACAGAAACCACTTCATTACAAAAGTTGTTTATTTCATAGAGTTGTGAAAGATTTCATGATCCAAGGTGGTGACTTCAGTGAAGGTATGGCATTACTTGTTCCAAATTATTGCCTGTAATTGTTCAAATGTAAATACAAGTTTTACAAGTATTTAAATAATTTCGATGTCTACTTTTTGTGGAAAACCCCGCAGGATGATAGTCTCTTGCCAAACTTTATGAATGAACTGCTATGATAGTTTCAAGCAAAGTACTTTGCTGAAGATGTTACTAAAATACTGGCATTTTTTCCTTCTTAAAACAATTTGAATTCATTTGTAAAAATATAAGAAAATTTAGAACTCTGTCAATAACCTTAAATTGGGGAATGAGACAGGGTTGCCCTTTATCCCCAGTTTTATTTGCATTATTGATGGAGGTTTTGGCAAATGCAATTAGGGAAGATTCATTGATTGAAGGAATTGGTATACAGAAGAAAACTAAACTAAATTTATTTGCAGATGATACATTATTAACATTTCAAAATCCTGTAGTTATTATAAAGAGGATATATTTATACCTAAATGAATTTGGGAAATATAATGGATTACAAATAAACTGGGGAAAATCAGAAATGATGTTATATAACCATAGTAAAGAAGAAGTGGATGTATTGAAAGGAAAATATAAATTAAAAACAGTAGATAGTATTAAATATTTAGGTGTTGACATCCCAAAAAATATTCAAGAGTTAAAGAAAATAAATTATGAAAACCTAAAGAAAGATATAAAAGATAAAATAGATAAATATGAGAAAGTAAAATTATCATGGTTTGGAAGAATTGCATTGATTTGATTTGCATTTCCCATTGATTTAGGAGAAATAAATGATAATGATTGGGAAAATATTTGGAATAGAAGAGCATATCAGAATATGTCAGAGTTAAGGAAAATGGATATAAAGTGATATGGAGGTGGTACCTAACACCACATAAATTAAATCAAATAGATGGTAAATATACAAATACTTGTTAGAGGTGCAAGAAAGAGGTTGGAACACATAAACATATGTTGTGGGATTGTGATAATGCACAAAAAATATGGGACATGATGTTTAGAGAAATTAGAGCAGTTTTGAATGTAAATTTAGATATGTCACCGAGGATTGCATTGCTATTACTGGTGGAAAAATGGGATATAAATGAAACAAAAAAGGAAGTGCTTGTAAATTTGATAATGGCAGCTAGATTAGTGATGGCTAAATATTGGGGACAAAATTGGGATATTCAAAGAAATGAGTGGTATAATGAAATTTGTAGTATGGCAACAAATGATAAATTAGCAACAGAAATTAAATTTAAAAAAGGGATGATTAAAGCAAACAATTATAATGAAGTATGGAGGGATTTTATAAAAACAGTGCTGGTGGAAGGCAAAGGGAATAAACCTACTCAAGAATATATGTTGTTTTGGAGGGGATAAGGGCACAGTTGGAATATATTGTATATCTTTTAGTTATAGAAGAAGAAATATAACAAAAAATTCGTCTCTGGGGGTGGGAGTGCGCTGTAATATTTATATTACTCCCCCCCTTTTTTGTATTTAGATGCATATGCACTATGTTTGTATTATTTGTATTTAAAATAAAATATTTTTTTAAAAAAGAAAGAAAATTTAGAACTCTCTCATTCTGGTTCATTAATGTTCATTTTAAATTGCTTAGATGAATAGGAAAATAACAGACTTGTTTTCTGTTACTTCTTCCATAACAATATTGTGTATAAAGATATTCAGTTTGAATATAAATATTTTAAAGTTTGTGGAGTCTTTGGTATCAATTCCAACAACCTTGGTGCCAATATCTAGATAAGCAGGGATTAACACCAGACAAACAATGTAGCAGAAAGCTATACCTTAATCAAAGAACTACCAAGGAGAAAGCCACATCTCCATCAATACTGGCAGGGCAAGTTACTGTACATAAACGGAGCAAACTCCATATTCACTAGCAGTGATGATGTTACCCAATTCAGATATTGAAATGTCAACAAACAAATAAACAATCAAGCTCAGAGAACACTACGCATTCCATAGTTTAATCCTGAACTACCTATATTATCTTCTATTGGATGCTTGCATGATCTTTTCTTAGATGTATGTGTTTTTTTTTATACAAGGAAATGGGAGAGGAGGAGAATCAATTTATGGAGGCTTTTTTGAAGGTAAGAACTATTTCTTCTCAGGTTAGCCTGCAACTCCACCATTGTGTTGTGAATATATTAGGAACAACATATTTTATGGATCTACAAAATAATTCTACTAAGGATCATAGTTTATTTTGAGGTTCATAATTAGGATCATAAAGTGTACAATTATTTTAGAACTTGTAAAAAGTCTGGCCTCAAGTGATCTCATAATCAGTGGCATACCAACTCACCTCTTTTTCTACTTCTCTTAAGGTAGTAAGTCCTTTCTTCCTGAGGTGTGTGACAGCCTTGCATCTTGCCTCCATTTAACTTCCCTTTGTCAAGGCCAGTTTTACCATTTCATTGATTGTTAACAAACCAGCCCTCGCTCATGTCTGAGGAGAGACGGAGAGAGATAAAACATCATTCCAGTCATTTGACATGTCTTTAACAAACATATTTTTTGACAGAAAGTGAATGCTAATTTGACAGTTGGACCAAGTAGACCAATAAATGGATCTGGTTTCGGTCTTTCTCTGTAAAAACTAGAAGATGGCCAAATGCTAGTTCTGACTAACCAATCCAAGTTCTTTTCATGCTCCTAGAAATGTGAGCTGATGATATTAAAAGGCTGTTACTGGACGTTAGATAAGACGCTTTTATGACACAAATATGTTACAAACAAGTCTGTTGCATACAATTGAAATTTATTTTTATTTCAAATTTCCAAATTACCTTTTCTAAAAAACAGGGCTATTCATGAGGCATTTTTAAACTAGCAATACAGCATATTACTTTTGGCACACTCTTATAAACTGCATGTAGCAAAATATAACATTTTTTCCACAAAAATACGTCTTGTCTTTTTGGATAATAAGAATGAGACATTTACAGGTTGTTCTTGTTTAACAGATCAATGAATTACTACATAGTTGTATTTCTGCATTCATTTATCATATGAGAATGCTGTTCAACAGTATTAATCAAATAATATTTATATTTTTGCCCAATAAACTGGGAATTATAGTATACATTTCTGTCTTTAGTTTTATCTATTTGAATACTGTTTGGCACTGCAATGATAACATTTATGCAGCTTGACAATCCTAATTTAAAATGCTAAAAAAATGCCAGTGCAAGGTAATAACTTGGATTTTTGAAGTAATTCAAACGCTTTCTCTAGATGAAAGCTTTGCTGTAAAGCACAACAAAGAATTTCTCCTTTCAATGGCCAACAGAGGGAAAGATACAAATGGTTCACAGTTTTTTATGTAAGTATCATGCTAGCTCCATCATTTGGATGGAGTTCCTTATGATTTAAATTGTAAGAACTTTGAATTGTTGGAATAACTTTCTGTTTACAAAGTATAAATACCTTTAGAACAGAGAATGCTTTTATTTAACTATTTCTAAGAATTATGGAAGATCTATATAAGACTAACCTACAAGATAAACAGAAATACAATTTGAAAAAATGAGAAATTATTAGCGTATTGTACATCAAAACCCAGCAAAAACAACTACCATCACAAAATTTTTAAAAAAGCGCCAAATATATAAAATTAAAATCACAATTAGCATAAATATAAGAAAATTTTTAAAAGGACAATATAACAATAAAAATATTTCTTAATGCCTAAATGTAGAGGAACTTACAGATGGACTTCGCTATTGAAGGTGTACTGTAATTGGAGGAGGGGAAGCTACAAGTAAAGAGTAAGTAAGAACTCTTTGCTCCTGAATAAGAACTCAACATGCCATAGTAAAATATGAGGAGAGTTTGATAATAACTTTATTGCAATCATTAACCAGTGCAAGAGAATTGGTATTCAAATATTTAAAATAAACAATACTAAATTGACAAGGCCAGGATAGTTAAGAAAAGTACAAACGGACAAAACAGTTTGGCTAAAAAACAATATTAAATCAAATATGCAAAGGCTATGTGTATGTAAGAAGAAGAAATTAAAATTAAAATCTGTATAATATAAACTTGAAATAACAGTATAAAATACAAACACAAATAGTATACAAATACACATGTACACAGACAGAGTCCTTGACTTGGGACTGTAATGGAGCCTGCCAATTACAGTCGTAGGTTGTGACAATCCTAAAGCAGGTCACTACGTGACTGATTTTACAACCGCTTTCCGGCAGTCATGAAGCAATCGTAAAGTGAAGACTGTGGTTGTTAGGCAAATGCCATGGTCATTAAGTGAAGCCATTTCTTTGCTATGGGGCTTTTTTTCTGAAAAACAGAAGTAAATGCCCTTTTTAGCAAAAATGTCATAAATCACTGTCATGGGACACTGCAAACAGTTGTAAGCAGGGGCCAGTTGCCAAGTGCCCAAAATGCAGTAACCAGGGACAAGGTGGATTTGATTCAAATCAAGTCGATTTAAAGGCTTGATTTAAATCAACTCAATTTAAATCATAATTTTTAAAGAGCAACTGTCATCTCTGTCCTGTAGTGGCTCCTCCTCTGACCCACAGTTGACTCACCGACAGTCCCATTCACTTTAATGGGATGGCTGGTGATGTGGCAGTGACACAACAAGGTGAAGGATGTGGCAGGCAGCAGGTGAGTGGATGCCCATTAACAGGCCCTGCCATAATGTATCTGAAATGACAGGTGCTCTTTAAATGTAAGGATTCATTCTTGCTGGTAGTTAGAATCTTCAATATTATTATTTGCAAACAAAATGAAGGTTTCCTATTTAGCTTGCAGAGCTTGGATTCATTGAATGAGTTTACCAAAAATGTAAATATTGCAGAATATACAGCCTCATGCTACATAACTAAGCTCCATTTCATGCTGAATAAACTTAATTAGTGTATCTTAAATAGAAAACTATCTTTATATAGATTTTTACTCCAAGAGCATTTTATTAAAATAAATTTGATAAAAATAGAAAAAATCCGATTTAAATTTTAAAAAATCTGATTTTTTTTATTTTTTAAAAAAAATAATTGTTTTTTATCCACTCTGACCAGGGAAGAACATGGCTGTCAGAACTTCAGGCCCAGGTTGTAATTACCATTTGGGGGCTGTTGTACTTTCAAGTGATTGGCTAAGCAACTGGTTAAAAGTCAAGGACTACCTGTATACCTGTATATTTGTAAATAAAACAATAAAATTATCCAAAAGGCTTTAACAATTGTAAGCTTCTCTTACAGAAACTCTGTTGTGGCTGAGAGAAATATAATGTGGTACAATAGCTGACACGGCATGTATACCCAAAAACTAATGGTTAATGCTGAACCTGATTGACTATCCATACTGTGGCTGATCCAATTACTCTTAATTATTCTTTGTCTGATTTTACATGCCGCCATGCAAAACTTGGCAACCTTGTATGTTACTTCAGCGCTGATGTCAGAAAGTAGACTTTGCTTATACTATTAGTCATTGAATCTCATTTTGCTAGTCAGAAGTGGGGCAATTGGAGCATTTCAAGATTCTGTATATAAGTGGATATAGAGAAAAACATGTTTGATAGTTTCTATCGGTACCAAGTCTCAAGGACATACTCACAATGAATACTGGATCGTTTTGTATCCTCCAGTCCAGAAGTTCCCCAGAGGGGAAAGCATTTAATAGGGCTAGGGTAAAATCTCTTTTCTGATTTAGGATACATAGCTGGTGCCCGAGTGTATCTCCTGCTGTCTGGCATGGGCAGCTGAGTGACATTTCCAGTGTCTGTTTTGATGGTGTATGTCAAACAGACATTGCCCAACTGTGACTCTTGCTTTCTTAATTGTCAAAGATGATAAATAAGTGAGGGAAACTAATAGTAATACCATGGCTTGGGATAATACCGGCTGAAATATATTTCTCTCTAATCTGTAAGCAGTCTCTACTGCTTTATACAGGACCAACATTTGACATAGGCCCAAGAGTCAGTGAAGGCACATACATTCATTGACCAATCTAAATGAAAGGATATCAGAATATGGGCTAATGAAGCCACTGTATTTCTATCCCAGTTGGGTCATAATTAACCTACGAATCTAAACTTGTAAAACATATTTCATGCCATAACAAATTATTAAAGCTCTGACAAAATGTGAATAAACAAGCATTCCCCAGTTTTGATCTATCAAGAGGAATACATTTTTTCTAAAACAATTTGATTGTCATTCCCTTGCGACAAAATAATGTGCTACATATACTGCATCTTGTCTAAACTAAACTAATTTAGTCCATTACTGTGTCCATGTGTTGAGCCTGCAAAATGGGCATAGATTTCCTGAACTTTAGATCCTCAGATTCTTACATCTTCCATCATTTCCAGACAGTTCTGGTTCCCCTAGTTAGAGATGATAGAGGTACCAGATTGAAGAATCTAATCTATAAGAATACTCCTTCACTTTATAATCTGTTAGGGTGTTGAACAGGAGAGCACCTCTGAAGAGATTAATCCATCACAATCCAAGTCTTGATTATTCATGGCAGGTCAGAATTTCTACCAAAACACATCTAGGGATAAGAGAGAGAATATTAATCATCCTGGCATTTAACATCACAAGCAGATCAAAACACAAGCTAGTAAAGCCATAATTCTGAGGGAGAGAAAAATCGGAAGCAATAAGTATATTAATAGGCCTTCCATGAAATCTCAGCTCCCCAATATAGTGTTTCCTTCAATTTGCAACTAACCACTGATTCTCTTCCACACAATCATTAAAAACATATTCCAGATAAAATTCATGAAAGTTTACTATATAATGCAAAGTGCCATAAAACACTTAGTTGTTGCTAGTGTGGAAATATAGGTAATAGTAAACTTTTCCTTATGTTTTTTTTGTACTACTTCAGTTTCTTTACTATGTTTCTTCTGCTACATACAAAGCACCATATCTATAATTCCCTCTAATTCAGGAGTGTCAAACTCACATTGTCATAGGAGTGTCACGTGACCTATCGGGACTTTTTTCCCCTTTGCTACATCAGTGTGGCCAGCACGTGACACATCAGGCCTGTGGTCTGAGAGTTTGACAGCCCTGCTCTAAGTTACTGAGTTAAGTTACTGAGTTAAGCTCACTCAGAGTTAAATGGTGTATCCTATTTGTTGTATTCTGTTCCAAAGTGGAAGTAAAAAATAGACTTACAAATAGTCATACTCTATTAGAATCAAAATCTCCCGTGAAATAGGGACAGCTACTACAGTTTTATATTTCAAAAAGAGAGCTGTATGTAGAGTGTTCTAACACTGTAAGAGCTAAATGGTTGCAACCAAAAACCATTTAATGTGTAATGAGTATGAGATTTTTAGGGCTAAATAGTGATATTAGCTGAAAGTGGATAATGCTTATGTACATATTTTCTGATTGTCAGAGCAAGTTAACATTTATTTACAAGCAGCATTGTTGAATATTCCAGACATAACAGAAGATGTTATTTTTACAATTCTATTCATTATGAAATTAAGGACACATCTGTGTTTAGTAGATTTCCCCTGTATAGCCAGAAGTTTTAACAGGTGAATGGGAATGACTTCTTGATAAGTCTTTAATGTCTGCTCAGAAGAAAAGCATCCATCTCATCCGAGGGAATGAAGTAACTGAATTTTAGGACAAATAAAAATACATTAATTTTTTAAATATTAAATATTTAATAAGTTTCAGTGGGAACTCAATGGCCACAAGTTTAGCAGTTGCAATTAATTAAAATTATTGGTTGAATAATATATTGAGGACTGTAGTGTCTTCAAAAAAAATTCTTTGTCTTCGCTTCTTTAGTTTCAGTTTTATATTAAGCAGAAGCTGCCTCTTCAAAAATGAATGTACACTATTTGCTTAGTGGTAAAGAAGTTTAAAGAGATTTGCGGAACAAATAAATTGGTATAAGACCAAATGATTCAGTAGTATTGTACTATTGAAACTGAATTACATAGTATCTTTTATTAACAAGAAGTAGCTATGGCCTGGTTGACAAAAGAACCTGGGTCTAAACTGTATTGCAAAAATGATGGCTCAGGTTATTGAAAGTGTTTCCATATAAAAATGTTACTCACACAGAAATTGAATGCTTGGAAGTGGTCTACTTTAGCCTGTTTTATAGTATAAGATATTTTAGGTGAAGGAAATCGTTCCTATTCAGAAGTGTTCTGAATATTCATGCCATATATAGTATAGTGCTGTCAAAGTACATTACCTCAGTCAGAACTAGGCTATGTAGAATATATTTGTTTAAACATATTTTTTTGAATTTTAGGTACGGTTACAGTAATAATCACAACTGTATATAAATTTTAATGTATTGACATTGTTGCTGTTCAATATTTAATGTGTTAGGTTCATATTTGTCATTTCTGTCATAATATACCAAATTTGTGTTCTCTCTCCCTCTCAACTGGATACTAATATTATCCTTTTTTTTATTAAATTCTTGCCCCTGGTGTCATCTATAGAACAACTAAGCCTACCCCTCATCTTGATGGGTATGTATTTTTGTCTCTTACTTGTAATTGGAAAATTCTGCTGAATTCTTCAATGAGATAGCAGTCATTTATTAAAATTATGCTTCACTCATTTAGATATCATGTTGTTTTTGGACAAGTAATTTCGGGGCAAGAAGTTGTAAGAGAAATAGAAAATCAGAAGACTGATGCATCTAGTAAACCATATGCAGAAGTGCGAATAATGAGTTGTGGAGAACTAATTCAAAAATCTAAAGGTAAAATTAAAATACCTTTTTAATAATAGTCTGCTATTTCCATTTCAGATTGCAAATGCAGCAAAGAAAAACAGTCAGCTTTGATCTTTTGTTTTCCAATCACCTTTTGTAGAAATCAATTATTTGGCTTATTTTAATGCTTTAAACTCCAGAGAGCTCCAGTGTTAAAATTGTTTATTAAGAATCTTTATTGTTTATGTTTATTAAGAATATCTGCGGGTATAACAATATTTTTGCTTGAAGGTGATACAGTTGCAACTCTGTGATTACAGCTAAAACAAATTTCTCAATAATATTTACCATCTTCATATATGAAAAACCATGCTTAGGAAATAATTTTTATTTGTTTGCTTTAATATTCGGAAATTAAAGGAAAAACTAGAAAATAGGAAGAGAATATTTTTTTTTTTATGCTTAGGCGGTAAATGCTTTTCTGTTGGTTTCATTTAAAGCCAAGAAGGAAGAGAAGAAAAGACGCAAGTCGTCGTCTTCATCTAGTGATTCAGAAAGTTCAAGTGATTCAAAAACGTCTTCTGATTCGTCAAGTGAATCTGACAGTGCTGCTGAAGAAAAAACAAAGAAAAAGAAAAAGAAACATAAAAAAACCTCTAAGAAACATAAGAAAGAAAAGAAAAAGAGGAAAAAAAGCAAAAAGAGGTACATAGAGAAGTTTATATGTTTTTTTAATTAAACAGATTTCTTATATATCATAATGATTTTAAATATATTTTTGGATGAACTCTTGAGATACTTGGAGAACAATGCTTCTGTTGCTAGGAAGTCAACCCAGTGGTTTTATAAGACAGCAAGTCCCCAACTTAAGAACAAATCCCGTTCCTAAATTACCTTTAAATCCAACTGGAACAAGCTATTTAGTCACACGTTTGTCTTACTGTGTAATAAGAGAAAAATGGAAGCCCAGCGCAATTCAAAATGGCAAATGGCATTCTTCTACAAGCTGAGGAACTGTTGAATCCATGCATTTTTTTTAGGAGCTGTGGAAAACAGGCAGTGCACTACAGGTAGTCCTCGACTTATAACACTTTGTTTAGTGACCGTTCAAAGTTACAACTGCACAAAAAAAAAGACTCATCATTTTTCAGTTATGACCTTTCAAGCATCCCTATGAACATGTGATCAAAATTCAGATGCTTGGCAACTGGTTCATATTTATGACCGTTGCTGTGTCCCAAGGTCACATAATCACCTTTTGAGACCTGACAAGCAAAGTCAATGAGGAAGCCAGATTCACTTAACAACTGTTGCAACAAAGGTCGTAAAATGGGGCAAAGTTCACTTAACAAATGTCTTAACAACAGAAATGTTGGGCTCAATTGTGGTCATAAGCCGAGGACTACCAGCATATTAAAAATACATGCATTACTTTGTGATGCTCATATAGGCATTGTGCTGCTTCAGCAATGCTTCAGTTCATGGGGGTAAAGTAATGTCTGCCATTTGAATTGGAGAGAAAAACGAGTGCGACATGACCCAAAATGACAGACAACATTCTTTCTTGAGCTGTGCAGTGCTTTTGGGAACCAGTGAAAACAAACTGCGATATATTAAAAATGAATGCTCATGGAGATACTGCAAGGCTTCAGAGATTTTTCAGTTAGCAGGGAGAAGTACCACCTGCCATTTTAAGTCGGATCTCATTGCTGGTTGGCCGTCTGCCATATTGAGTATGCAGGCACCTTGTTCGTAACTAGGGGTTGTTTGTAAGCTGGAGGGTCACAACCTGGAGACTTTATGTAGTGTAGATCCATTTCCACTTAAGCAGCTCAGAAACTATCCATAAGCATGATTAAATCTGTTGATTTATATTTATTCAGTAATTTTTTAAAATTGCTATGTTAGTAAAAAGGCCAAAAAAGCCTTTTCCTCATATTCAACCATGTCTTTAAAACCAGCAAGGCATAGAAAAACCAGCACAATTCAAATTAAAATATTAAATATTTTGCCACTTTCCAACACAAATTTCTAAAATATAGTAAATTTGAAGTATGTTTGGCATCTGAAAACTTAACACATTATTCTAAAAATACAGATAAATATCTTCTTTTGTTTTATAAATTTAAGTTCAGCTAGTGAAGCTGAAACAGAAAATCCTGAATTGCAACAGCCACTTTCTACAGTCCGTCCAGAAGAGATTCCTCCTGTTCCAGAAAACAGATTTCTGATGAGGAAAAGTCCTCCCAAAGTAGAAGAAAAAGAAAAAGAGACAAAGAACAGAGAAAAAGAAAGAGAAAGGTAAGGTTTTTAAAAAATATATTTATCAACAGAATAGTATATTAAAATACTAAGATCTATGTGTAAACATTAAGATCACAAACTAGTGGAAACAATGTATAATATAAAGTAGAATAATATAGTAGAAAAATTATGACCTTAGAATTAGAATTCTTTATTGGCCAAGCAAGTGTGATTAGACACGCAAGGAATTTGTCATTTCTGTGCATAAGGTATCAATGTACATACAATAATCTTGATAGATCATAGTCATTATAAAAATACATTCATCATAAAACATTAGATACAACACTTAGTGATAGTCATGGATACTAAATAAGCAATCAAAATAAGTCATACTAGGATACTAAGGTAACAATATAAATTGTAAGATACAAGCAACAAAGTTATAGCCATAAGAAGATAAGGAGATAGGTAATAGGGAAGATGAGATTAATAATGGTATGACTGCCTTTCTAGATAGTTTGACAATGTTGTGGGAATTAGTTGTTTAGAAGAGTGATGGCATGGGGGGGGACTGTCCTTGGGTCTAGTTATTTTGACGTGCAGTGCCCTATAGCGTTGTTTTAGGGTAGAAGTTGAAACAGTTTATGTCCAGGATGCGAGGGGTCTGTAGATATTTTCCCAGCCCTCTTTCTGGCTTGTGCAGTATATAGGGTCTCAGTGGAAGGCAGATTGTTGTTTCTGGAGTTCTAATTATCCTTGAAGTCTGTGTTTGTCTTGATTGGTTGCAGTTTGAAACCAGATAGTTATAGAGGTGCAGATGACAGACTCAATAATTCCTCTGTAGAACTGTATCAGCAGCTCCTTGGGCAGCCTGAGCTTTCTGTGTTAGCAGAGGAAGAACATTCTTTGCTGTGCTTTTTTGAAGACATATTTGATGTTAGATGTCCATTTTAAGTCTTGAGATATAGAATCTAGAAACTTAATTTAACTAGTTCAATTTATATGCCGCCTTTCTCCGAAGACTCAGGGTGGCTTGAAGGTCTCTACTGTTGCTACTGTGTTGTCTAATATTGTGAATGGTGGTAATGTAGGAGGGCTTCTCCTAAAATCTACTATCATTTCTACAGTTTTGAGTGTGTTCAGTTCAAGACTGTTCTGGCCACACCACAAGGTTAGTTGTTCAACCTCCCATCTGTATGCAGATTTGTCGTTGTCTTGAATGAGATCAATCACTGTTGTATCATCTGCAAATTTCAGTAGTTTAACAGATGGATTGTTTGAGATGCAGTCATTGGTATATAGAGAGAAAAGAAGTGGAGAGAGCACATAGCCCTGCGGGGGCCCTATGCTAATTGTACAGATATCTGATGTGATTCTGCCTAACTTCACCTGCTGCTTCCTGTTTGTTAGAAAGCTTATGATCCACTTACAAGTGTGGTCAGGCATGGCTAATTGATTTAGTTTAGCTAGAAGAATATCCGGAATGGTTGAATTGAATGCCATGCTGAAGTCTACAAAAAGACTCTTGCATAGGTATTTGGAGATTCAATATGTTGTAAGATGTAGTGGAGAGCCATATTGACAGTATCATCTGCTGATTTATTTGTTCAGTAGGCAAATTGCAAGGGATCTAACAGCGGATCCGTGATGGTTTTCAGGTAGACCAGCACTAGCCTTCTTTGGCACTGGGATGATAGTAGAACATTTGAAGCAAGAAGGAACATAGCACATCTCTAGTGATTTATTGAAGATGGGGGCCAATTGGTCAGCACAAGCTTTCAAGCAAGAAGGCGTTATCTTGTCTGGGCTTGATGCTTTTCTGTGTTTTTGTTTGTGAAATAGACCATGCACATCGTTTTCTGTAATCACCAGAGATGGGGGCCCCTAAGGGATGGGGTCAGTTATAGGAGGCTTGGCTGTTAGTGTATCTGATATGGAGATGGTGTAGATAGTTGACAATGGTTTCCTCTCAAACCTACAATAAAACACATTTAGGTAATCAATTATGGTAAGTCAATTTCCTTCTGCATGGGAAGGAGATTTGCTGTAACCAGTGATATTCTTCCAGAAGGCTGCGGAGTGGGTCAGGAGTGGGAGATGATCCAGTTGGTCTGGCCAGTCACTGAATCGAATTGCTTTGGCCACGCCTCCTCGTGCCTCCGTCGCCTCCAGTTTTATTCGACTCAGTGATCTGACCAGACGGTTTCTTACTGAGTTCCTCACTCCTGACTATTGATCAGGGTTTATTCTCCTCGCTTCTACCTATTCTTCAATCTTCTATCAAGCTTCTGCGCTGTGCGAGCTGGCCACTTCAGTCTAAGGCTGAAAACACTGCCGCTGCGCCCGCCCTACAGCTGATCGGCGCTAGTGCTCTTGGCGCTTCGCCACCTACGAAATAAGCACCGGCCGCTATTTTAGCCTCCAGCCCCAGGATCGCTGGATCTGCTTCTCGCCAGGGCTGCTGACTGCGAAGTTGCCTCGTCAGCGGCCGCTATTGCAGAGCTTCAACAACGGTGGTGGTCATTTTTAACCGGCCATTTTGAACGGCGCTCCTCTGAGGTGTTGGCGCGAAGGCTGTGGCAAGTCTATCCCCAACTGATCGCCGCTGGTATTGTCTCAGGGTTATTCCTTGAGTGGTGGGTGGCCCCTTACGGCAGAAGTAATTGGGTGGCTAATTGTGGCAGTTAAAGTGGACACCTTGGATCAGCCGTTAGACGCCATTATGAGCGCAATCCTCAAAGGCAGCAATTTTGTTGCATCTTGGGGGCCATATTAATTGCACTCCTCCACCTCGGGTGGCCATTTTAGCCAAAAAAAAAAGAAGAAGAAGAAGAAGAGAAGCCTTGGCTACTGATTTCTCAGCAGGTCACTTCCAGCTCTGCAACACAGCATTCCGCTGTTATTTCACACCCCTCATTGGCCGCATCTGGTGCTGGCATACTCCAGATTTCTGTGAAAGCCGCCCTATCTTCAGTTAGGTGTGCAGGCACTTGATCGTCTTACTATGGCTGAACGGTCTTCTGATAACAGGGCCGAGACTGGCCACAAGGCCTCCTCTAAGTCTGCTTCAGGCAGAAGGTCTCATCAACACCAGGACGAGATTAGAGATCTTCAATGACGCCAAAATGTGCTGGAAGGACAATATTTACAGAACAAGACGGAGAGGGCTGACCTTGGGGTCACTGCTGGTACGGCCCAGCCCGGCCTGGTTCCTGTGACCAGACTGCCGAGGCTGACCTTGACCTCTCCAGAGTGTTATCCCCTGAGAGAGCTGACCAACAAGGTACTAGTTCTCCCCATTCAAAGGACCAACAAAAAGGGGATTCCTTTGATTGTGCAATTACACCGCAGGATCCCCCACTTGCACAGAATCCTGACCAACTGAACCTGCAGGATCTGCCTGAAGCGGTCCAACACTTAATTGCCAGAGCTATCTCGCATGGCATCGCAACGGGCATACAGGAACACCGTTCAGCATTTGTAGTATCGGAAAACCTTCATTCTCGGCGTACCCGAGTTTCGCCTTCCGCTAGCCTCACTGGTTCTCCTGAACGGTCTCCAACGAGATCTAGAGGCAGTGCTGACTTCGGCTTAGAGGACGAACCGATGAGAGACACCAACCTCTCAGATGACGAAGGTGCTCCTCCGGATGTTCCGGCCTTTACAGGATTATTTCCTCAAGGGCTCTTCAAGTCACTATTGCACAAGGCGAAAGTCACTTCGGGCCTTTTGGATCCTACGTACTACTACTTCTGCCTCAACTTCGACCGGTCATGGTATTTTTTGGGAACCAGTTGCCGAACAACTTTTTGTTCCAGCACCCAAATTATTCATAGACGTTGTCCTCAAACAATGGTCCAACCCGGCATCTCTTCCGACACCCAGCGGTACGTAATTATAACATGGAACCAATGCTAGCTTCCATTCTACAGGTACCTTCCGTGGATGGCCCTGTGGCTGCCCTTTCTTCCCCTTCCCCTATATCTCAGGGGACACCTCTGAGGGCCTTAAGCCTGAGGACAGGAAATTTGACCTGTCCTTCAAAAAGACACACCAGGCTTCTGCTTGGGCGATACAAGCCGCTACTGCAGCTTCTTTCTTCACATGCTCGTCCCTATTATGGCTCCAACAGCTGCAATCTCGTTTACCTGCCCAGGAGGTGCGGGTCCACCAGGACCTCAACAAAATCATTGCAGCCATCCAGTTTGCATCCAATGCCATGCTCAATGCAGCTAAGTACGCCTCTCGGGCACTGGCATCATCAGTCACCTCGCGACGCCTATTGTGACTGCGCCAATGGTCAGCCGATCTAAAAGCCAAATGGCGACTCGCTTCTGCCCCGTACTCGGGGTTCAAGTTGTTTGGTGACTCTCTCGAACCTTTATTGGTCGAGGATAAGGATAGGAAGAAAGTTTTGCCTTCCGCCACTAGACGGGCGGATCGCCGGGCGACCCCCTACTACCGTAGGCAACCTTCCCGCTTTTTTCCCCAGGATAACACCAGCCAACGTCCATATTCTCAGGGCTCCTTTCGCCAACCAGACGGGTTCCTTTTGGGACAAGCCAAAGTCATACAGCCCTTCCAAGCAGTCATTTCGTGGAACTGGCAAACGCCAGTTCCGTCGTCAGAAATGACTCCCTTCTCAATGCACTCATAGGAGGCAGGTTGAGCCTCTTTGTCAACAGGTGGGTTCGCATCACGACGGACCAATGGGTCCTTCACACCATTGAATTCAGACTTCCATTGGAATTCCTTTCCAGCCCCACGAACCACTTTGTACCATGCCCTGTCTCCAATTCATTTCGCAAGCGCAGACTCATGGAGCTTGCCATACAGCATCTTTTAGACATCAAGGCTGTGGAGGAGGTCCCTCCAGACCAATGGAGACAGGGATTTTATTCAATCCTTTTTGTGGTACCGAAACGCTCTGGGGGCTGGAGAGCGATACTCAACTTAAAATCGTTGAATACCCACCTCGTCTACAGAAGGTTCAAAATGAACACTCTAAAGTCCATCCTGGAGGGGATCAGGCCCAGAGACTTTCTAGCCTCTATCGACCTCTCCGAGGTCTACCTACACATCCCTATATCACCGGCCCACCGGCGCTACCTAAGGTTCAGCTACGCAGAGCGACATCTTCAATATCGTGCCCTCCCATTCGGCCTGGCATTGGCCCCGCGCAGCTTCACGAAGGTCTTAGCAGCTCTAGTGGCACATTTACGGTCCGTCCCGGTACAGCTTCAAGCCTACCTGGACGATATATTAGTTCAGGCTTCCACCCTTCCACGGGCGCAAGCCGATCTCCAACTAACCTTACAAGTCCTACAAGAACACGGGTTCTTAGTCAACCTACCCAAGAGTCAACTAGAACCCCGAACCCGCTTAACTCATCTCGGGGCAATAATCGACACCTGAGCCGGATAGGTGTTCCTCTCTCACGAGAGGAGAGACAATCTCAGACTTCTCATCCGTCAAATCCTCCTGGAACCGACGGTGTCCAAACTCACCCTCTTGACACTGTTAGGGAAACTGGCATCCTGCATAAACATTGTGCCTTGGGCCCGTCTTCATGCGCGCAGTCTCCAATGGTTTCTGCTACCGCACCAACGTACCAGGACTGTTGCCTCCGAAACCAAGGTCATTGCATTGGTGGCTCTCCCCAGCCCTGGACAAGGGTTGCCTATTCATAGACAGTCCACCGATCGTCATTACGACGGATGCCAGTCTACACGGATGGCGAGCACATTTGGGAGGGCAGGTTGCTCAGGGTCATTGGTCGCCACCGGAGTCACAGTCCAACGTCAACCTGCTAGAACTCCGTGCGATTTGCCTGGCCCTTCTGTCCTTCCAAAAGACAATTCAGGGACAACGACTCTTAATACTCACCGACAACGTAGCGGTGAAAGCCCACGTAAACCGCCAGGAAGGGACAAGGTCCAAGACATTGATGCAGGAAGCTCTCAAGCTTGGGAGGTGGGCAGAGGCTCACCTCATCTCCATACAGGCGGATCACATCACCGGCAAGGACAACATCCAGGCGGACTTCCTCAGTTGGACCATGGTGGAACCATCAGAGTGGCGTCTCCACCCCGATCTCTTCAAAGACATCTGTCGCCAATTCGGACAGCCTCAAATGGGTCTGTTCGCTTCATCGGTGAATGCTTATCTTCCATGCTTTATCACTCATTACCCATCTCCGGGAGCGGAGGACACGGATGCTCTCCGTTGTCCCTGGCCATCGGGGCTCCTTTATGCCTTCTCGCCCCTGGCGTTAATACCACGAGTGATCCTCAAGATAATTACGGAGAAAGCGGAAGTCGTTCTCGTCGCCCCTCATTGGCCAAGGAGGCCTTGGCTCTCGGACCTAGTGGCCCTATCCATAGCACCTCTTTGGCGGTTCCCTCCAGAGAGGGTGTCTCTCAGCCAGCGGGCGGTCAACCACCCGGAGCCCCAGTGGCTCAATCTGACTGCCTGGCTCTTGAGGGGCTCCTCCTGAGGGAGGCGCTCTACTCCGAGGACATCATCTGCATCATGCAGGCGGACAGAAAGCAGTTGACCATCAGACTCTACAACATCACCTGGAAGGTATTTATCTCTTGGTGTTCTGCGTGTGAGATTAATCCCCTTTCAGCTTCTGTCCCGCAGGTTCTGGAGTTCCTCCATGATGGTTTCCGTAAAGGACTGGCGCTCAACACCCTCAAACGCCATGTTGCCGCACTCTCCACGGTGCTGTCACCCAGAGATGGAGCCCCGCTGTCCCGTCATCCATCCATTCACAGGTTTTTACGGGGGTCCGGAATCTTCGTCCTACCATAGCCCACCGGTATCCGACATGGGACTTGCCGCGGGTACTAAAGGCCCTTACAGAACCTCCATTCGAGCCTTTACATACTGCGAGCCTCCGGTTCCTTTCTCTCAAGGTTGCCTTCTTGGTGGCCATTACTTCGGCCCGCTGCATCTCAGAACTGGCAGCCCTCTCCATTCGGCCTGACCTTTGTATCATACACACAGACAGAGTTGTCCTCCGCTTGGACCCGTCATTTGTTCCAAAAATTAACTCCTGATTTCATCGGGAACAGGAGGTCATTCTTCCCAATTTCTGTCCCAGGCCAGTCCACCATTGGAGTTCAAATGGTGCACTCTGGATGTCTGCAGAGCTATTAAGATCTACATCTTGCGGACGGCCCCTGCCAGACGCACCGAAGCTCTATTCGTATCATTCCAACCTGCCTCATTGGGCTCTAAAGTATCCTTGCCCACCATTGACCGATGGATCCGGGCTTGTATTGCCCGGGCGTATGAAGCACAGTCCATTCCCCCTCCGCGACGTATCACTGCTCATTCAACTTGCAGTGCAGCTACCACCGCTGCTTGGGCCATGCAAGCCTCCCTCGAAGAAATCTGCCGGGCAGCTACCTGGACTACTCCTGTCCCGTTTATTAAGCACTACCGTCTGGATGTCTTCGCTTCTGCGGAGGCCGCTTTCGGCAGGAGGGTCCTCCAACAGGTACACCTGGCCTCGAGGCATCCTAGTTCGCAGGCTTCCCACCCATAGGGCTGACGAGCTTGGGTATGTCCCACTCCTGACCCACTCCGCAGCCTTCTGGGAGAAGAGGCGTTGGACTTCCTGTGAACGCCATTTCTCCGGGGGCTGCAGAGTGGGTCAGCCCCGCCTGCCTGTGACTCCTTTCATGACTTCTTGCTAACTATTGGCAGAGGATGTCTTTTAGATCTGGATTCGTCGAACAAAACTGGAGGCGACGGAGGCACGAGGAGGCGTGGTCAAAGCAATTCAACTCAGTGACTGGCCAGACCAACTGGATCATCTCCCATTCCTGACCCATTCCGCAGCCCCTGGAGAAACAGCGTTCATGGTAAGTCCAACGCCTCTTATCAGGTAGATAAATGGTTATGGAAACCATTCTGAACTAATCTACTAATTTATAACCATGAATGCCAATACTAAGGGCAGCAGTATTCAGTTATTTGGTATAGAGTATCTCTCACCATTTGTTCCTGTCACAATAGTAACAGATCAACACTTGTACACCTAACAACTAGAGAAAGTTGTCCCTCGCTTTTCTCCTTTATTTATTAAAGTGGCTGTATCCTCTTAGTATGCTTAGCATAAAATCAGGGTTAACAAAAGTAGAACAGTAATTCTGATCACTTAATACAGTGCTTATATTCTGATATATACCACAATATTTGGATTATTAATTCTGGAGAGATGAGACTGCAGACACCTACTCCACAGCTCATTCTTAGCACACCCACACCCCACTGGGCTGTTCAGTTGAGCAATTTTGTTAGTTTAGCTTGCTGGTTGTCACCTACCACCTACCTACCATACACGCTAGTGTATGGTAGACTGATTAGCCATTTCATGTTAACAGACCCCCACTAAATCTGGCAGCAACCAGGGTTATTGTTCTTATTGAAGAATGGGACAAATGACCTTTGACTCACAGGACAAGGAAATGCCTAATGCAATACACAGAATATTGCATTTTCCCACCCCACCCAAAGCAATGCAATTACCAAAATATCAAGCCAGATCAAACAGAATAGAGCAATATAACTCTAAATGGAAAACCAGCAATTTGTTTAAATTTTACATATGCTAATCTTCTAGGATAAACCACAATTAAAAAATAAGCTATATAAAAATATTTGGTCCTTAGAGAGTTTGCAGTGAGATGCAGAATTTTACTTCATACTAAAAATCAGCTCACTTTAACTAAGACTATATCTTAACTGGGGTTAATAAACAACAATATATTAACTGGGTTAAACTTAACCTTTGGGGAAAGTAAAGTTTAATATGTGTTTGAGACTGACATAGTAACCCCAGAGTTGTGATCTGTGTAAACCGTATGTTAACTTGTATTCCTGCATATAGACAACGATTCAAAATAATTATAAGTCTGTTCTGGTGATCAGACTTTTGTTTCTTTTGGAAATCTTTGAGGTACTTTTCTCAGAACAAATACGTGTATAGTTTAAAAAATAAAACAATAATTTCCCCAAAACCCATTAAAAATACACATTAAAGCAACATAAAACTGCTAAAATAGCTTTTAAATCCTTAATTAAATAATTACTAACACAGATTTTAGCATCATTACCATACTTAAAAGTTAGCAGATTGCTTTCAGTAAGATTTATTTACTGGTAAGTTGATAAACATTCTACAAGGGAGGAACAAACAATATTTTTATTATTTAAATATATATTAACTATTTTCCGTTAATTTTGCATATGCATGATGTTTCACAGTCATCTTTATGTAAGGTAAGAAAAGTGCCTTGTTATATCTTATTGTTATTTGTATTTTCTTTGTTGATTGCATTTTAGTTGGTATTGCTGGACTAAGGCTCTTACAATTTACTATTGTTACTACTATTACTCCTCACCAGTCTATATGAATTCTTTTTTATGAAGAAAATGTTTAGCATAGTGTTGGCAGCTTGTGAGCTTCAGAAGTACATGATTGTAGAAGAAACTGATAAATCATAGTTAAATAGCAGGGGTTTTTTTTTCTTTTCTTGATTTCTAGCAATCCATCAAATTGTCAAACATCATATCAGAGAAGACTGTTGGTGACAAGATCTGGACGAAAAATAAAAGGAAGGGGACCAAGGGTATGCTTGCTTTTTACAGTTTGATTTCTTTGATGTTTGGCTTTTAATAAACCATGATTTAGTTGTGTGATATATGTCAGTCTGTCTGTCTGTTTGTTTGTTTATCTATCCATCCCAAGGCTAGTAGACTTAGCAAACAAAATGCAGCATTTTGCATTTATGTATTATGCTAAGTTTGGATATCAAGCCATACTGAAAGCAATACAGGTAGTCCTCGATTTATAACAGTGACCGTTCAAAGTTACAACGACACTGAAAAAAAATGAGTTATGACTGCTTTTCATATTTACAACCATTGCACATTGCACATTGCCAAAAACTGAATTTTGATCACATGACCATGTGGATGTTCCACATGGTCATGTGATCAAAATTCAGTTTTTGGCAACTGACAAATGTATGATGGTTGCAATGTCCCGGGGTCCTGTGATCCCCTTTTGCTACTTTCCGACAAGCAAAATCAATGGGGAAGCCAGATTCACTTAGCAACAGTGTTACTAACTTAACAACTGCAATGATTACTTTAACAGATTTGGCAAGAAAGGTCGTAAAATGGGACAAAACTCGCTTAACAAATGTCTCATTTAGCAACAGAAATTTTGGGCTCAGTTGTGGCCATTAATTGAGGTCTGCCTGTATGTGTTTGCAGGTTGGTTAGCATATAGTGATTTGTACAGCAACCTGAAATTGTGTCAAAATATTGACCTTAAATTGGGACGCATGTTTTATTAGTCTCCCCATGAGGGTTCCTTTACCATCAAGTATGCACATGTTTTATTGCTAAATTGTTCTATTCTCCAGTAATGGACTGCCTTCTGCCAAGGCTGTTAGGTAGTGCCATTAGGGGACTCCCTCAAACACATCAGTGTTCACTAGCTTTGTGGGACAAAGATTTGCTAAGGAAAAGTTCCTGACTCTCTCATAATCCTTATTCCGAAGGAACCCAATTTTTAAAGTCTTTTATTTCTGTTTCAAGGATCAAATGTTTAGAACTGAGGTCAAAGTATGGCATAGCTCTAGTAAAAATAATTTTAAAATTAAACATTAAACTTAATAATTGGCTTCTTTCAAATGAGAATTATAAAAACATAATATATCAAAAAGAAGATAATATAATTTGTTAAATAACAGATTTGATAGATTCTGCATACCAGAATTCATTATGCAGTAACACCTAAGAAATTAATTCCTTTTGTTGTTAGATGCAAAAGTTATTATAGCAAGACACTGAAAAACCGAAGACAGGTATTTAAAAGTGAGAAATCACTTTGACTGAAAAATTAATACAGCAGTAAAAGTTAAGGATTCTGTTAATTAAAGACTGCTTACACTAATTGATTTCTATTTAGTTATATAAATAAAGCTTAGCAATAGATTAGCTCCATTTGTACAAATGTGGATTTGGAAAGTATTTAGTATGGATGTTTAAAATTTTGTATCTCCCCTTATTTTTTAAAATACATTTTTGTATTCTCCTGGACAATGCATTTTTTCTTTTTATATTTTTGTTATTGTTATATTGCTGTGTTATTTTCAGTGAGCATTGAATTTCATGGGTTTAAAAATTCAGCTGCACCATGAATAATTTTATTGTATGAATATTTATATAATAAAACCACAATTCCTCAGGTGCAACTGATAAAATTTTACATCAGATGTCATCTTCACCAAGAAAGTTTATTTTTTTCCATGGCAGTTTGGACATTTGATGTCATTTATATTATTTGCATAAGCATTAATTGACATTTCCTGTATCAATTGTGTTAATTTATCTCACTTGAACATTGAATCAACTAACAATTCTTATGCCCAAATGGTCCATTAGATGGAGGTTTTATTATGTTTTTAAATATGTAATTTGCAATCAAACATATGACAGTTGCTGTACAAATTAGGATCCACATCTTGTTTTAGCTAATTTTTCCATCTGTATTCAAAGCGGTACCGGACACCTTCAAGATCCAGGTCGAGGGATCGCTTTAGACGCAGTGAGACTCCTCCACACTGGAGACAGGAAATGCAGAGAGCTCAAAGAATGAGAGTATCAAGTGGAGAAAGATGGATAAAAGGAGACAAGTAAGATGCACTCAAAGTGGTAGCCTTTTCTGTACTATTTATTTATTTATTAGATTTTTAACTCACTTTATAAGTAACTCAGTAGTCAGTGCAGCAATGAAACTCCTGTAAGAAGTGATTTATTTTTCCATTTCCTATTTTGCTCATATAGTATCTTGTAGAAGAAAAGGGTGGGGGGACTAATAATCTGCTTAAATGCAAATTAAAACTAGTATACAGGAGTTGAAAGAAGCAAGTACGTGTGCTTTCTTTCTCCGCTCGTAGGAAATTCTTCCACAAAATTTTTTAGACACCTCCTCATTCTGTAATGTCACATTTGACTCATACAGCAGAGTTCTGCAGTAGTATGTTGTGTTTTTGATTTAGAGATATTTCTTTCTATCATATGTTAAATATACCTGCATCTGCATGCAGTTTGTAATGTAAATTCAGATAATGATGTGGGATTATTTCACTAGCTTTATGTTCAAGTTTGTTTGTTTGTTTGTCTTGAAGGAGTGAAATGAATGAAAACAAGAAGGATGCTGCAAATCAAAAAAGTCCAGGGAGAGGAAAAGAAAGAAAAATATCTGACCACAGAGAGGGTTCTGAAAGTCCAGATAGAAGAGGAGAAAAAGAAACACAGCCCAAAGATCCCAAATCTGACAGTAAAGACAGAGGGACAAAGAGGAATTCTGAGAAAGAAGATAAGGACAAACATAACAAAAGTAAAGCCAAAAAAAAGGATAGATCCAAAAGCCAGAGCAAAAGCAAAGAGGTATCAAAAAGTAAAGAAAGAGACTCAAAATACAGTAAACATGAAGATAAAAAAATGCGATCGAGAAGCAGAGAAAAAGAGAAAGAAAAATATAATGACTTTCATGGCAGAGAACGGAGCAGAAGCAAGGAGAAGAATAAAAGAGGAAGATCTAGAAGTAATAGCCAGAATCATACCAAAAGTAGAGAGAGGGGAAAACATGAACACTCAAAAAGCAGGGAACGCGAACAGCCTAAAAATAAACATAGTTCCAATAATAAGGCCAGAGAGCGAAGCAGAAGTGTGGACAGAGGCAAGCGAGCCAGGTCCAGAAGTAAAGAACGAGACCGCAGCAGAAGTAAAGATTATTCCAAACACAGAGATAAAGAAGTGAAAAGAAAAGTAAGATCAAGGAGTAGAGAGAGAAGAGGCACACCAGAGAGGTCCAGAGAGAAAGACCATAAAAGGCGGAAGGAATCCCATAGCTCTGAGAGGGAAGAAAGTCGAAGTAAAGACAGGCATCGGGATCAAGAGTACAAAAGTTCTCGCAGAAAGGAAGATTCTGGGAAAAAGATGCGTTCAAAAAGCCATGACAGCAGTAGCTCTGAGACTAATAAAAGCAAAAAGTCCAGTAGAAATCAAGATAGAAGTCCTGACTCAAAGAAAAGAAGAAGCAGCAAGGACAGAGAATCAAAAAGATCATACTCACGGAGGAGTAAAGAAAAGGAAAGGGACAGATCTCGTTCTTCCAGAGAAAAAGAGATCAACCAAAAATCAAAATATCAGGAGAGAGAGCGTGCCCATGGCAAAGATAAAAAATCCGATCATGAATCAAGTGCTGGAACTGATGAAGATAGGCATGGATGAGTTTATGAACTTATTGTTTCCACTCTGCTTCTAGGTTCTAGAGACATGTTGGGGAACATTTTTTTTTTAATGTGGACTTCAGTTTGGTTTTTTGATAATCCACAATCTGGATCATTTGTACTGCTAAAGTTTTAATAAACTTGAAATGGAAAAACAAGTTTTATGTGTAATACGGTGTGCTGTGTTTTAATATTTCATAGTTTATGTATCCTATTTCTATGTTACCTGATGAAAGCATACTGTATGTTTAATTTTAATTTAGAAGCACACTGCAAATTGGTTGGTTGGTCTGAAATTACAAACATCTTTGAATCAAATTCTTCTTACTTAGATAACATGTTAATATTAAATTATATTAACATTTCAGAACTATAATTAATAAACAAAACCAGCATATATAAAAACAGAACATTCAAGTGTAGGAGAATGAATGTTCTCCAGTTTGAATATGTTACTCAAGATTGTTACATTGCTGTTATATTTCATTGTTGTCCCTTTCAGGAAAAGGTTAATCACTTTGATCTTTGGAACAGTTATTTGTTCTAAGTGAAATACTTTCCATAAAGCAATTATTTCAGAAATAATTGATTTTATATGGTCCTGATAATAATGAATTTATAGAAAAGTGATGCTTAACTGTGAGAGTGCATTTTATATGCTGTCTATCTTTTCCTCATTAAATTTGAAGTTTGTTTGAAGGAGAAAATTTCTTTCAGAAAGAAATAAAATCTGGCTTCACTGAATTTATAAGGAAGAAATCTGTTTCATAATTTCGTAATCCTTCCTGAGTGTTAGCTATTATAAGATACCACATTTTTCTATCAACATAAATTCCCTTTGGAAAACTATTACAGATTGGGGTGCTTTCTGGAGCAACATGCAGAATCACATAGAAAATTGTGCTGCTTAAGAGAATTGACAAAAATTGAATCTTTACCTGAGTGGAAGTCCTTTTTGATAGGAAAAAGGAACCATTAGGTGCATCCCAGAACACCCTAATATAAATTTAAAATATGTATAATGTAGCTCACATTTCTGTTGTTGGATGAGAAATAAGTAAGGTAGTGTATGCTAATTTTGCTTTCTAAAGCTTCCTAACAGATAAGAAAAAGTGCCACGAAGAGTAAAGAAGAAATGACAAAAGTTAGATATATTCATCAGATTTCAACACCTATGAGAATAAAACACTGTATGCCTTTTCTTTGTTTATAATAGATGTGCTGCATTCCCTTACCAGTACTGCAGATTTCAGTTTGTTCCCTTACCTTGCAAACTTCTTTAGTGATGAGAAGACAAATAAGAATAAGTTCTATGTTAATTCAGATGTACATAAATATAAGTTTTGGGAAAGTATAATAAGATAGTTAAATTTGTTAATTTTTTTATATGTATATGGACAAAAAAAACCTAAGCGGTCAAGACGTTTTTCCTGTGATTTTTTCAGGAGGGCAGCCTTGAAATTGTCTGAGCAAGGACTTAGGACTGTTCTCATTTGGGACCAGTATTCGGCTTCATTGTAGGAAATGCGGTTCTGATCTAGCATGGGTTGCTTGCTATACCTGTGTCACGCTCATGCTGGATTGGAAGCACCTTTCCTGCTGCAGGTTAAAATACTGTTCACCTCTTTATTTTTACTAAATGCAACAGCAGTGTATGTGTCTACTATTAAATAGTAGTATTTGTTTACTACACAATACATCTGTACCCTTTTTTTTTCTTAGATCTCTCTTTGTCAGAAGTAGGAATTGGGGGTTTTTCCCTTCCTAATGGAAAAAAATGGATTCTGCAAAATTTTTACACGTATCTTCTGTCATCAATCGGACCTTCCATAGGTCTCTTACAGGGCCATATTTACAAATTGCAGAATATGTAGTATAGTGTTAATCATGGCCTATATTAATATCATCAAGCACAGTTAGATAATGTAAACCTGGAAAAGAATTTCCATGGTATTTAAAGACTGAATATTTAAACTAAGATGTTAACCTGGTTTAAAACTTGAGTTTTACTCAAGTAGTTGCTATCTCAACTACTGCAATAATATTAAATACAAGACTAGATATTTTACTGTTTCAGTTGAGTTTTCTTATTACAAAAGTTGAAAGAATTAGTTTACTTGCCCAATAAAGAAGTGGACAAGAGACAATCGTAGAAAATTATTTTGAGCTGAAATGCCATGTAATCAATCAGATTATTCCTCTTAAATGTATAAAGGTCCTATCAGATACATAATGATAACCTCTGTAGAGTAAAAATGTTCCTAATCGTTGTTTCAATAATCTTTTAGAGGAATTTAACTAGAGGAAAATACTGTTAATATTTACCATGTTCTTCCTTGTAGAAACCAAAATATTTAGGTTTTAAAGTGTTGTTGCGTGGTTAATTTGTTTTCTGTGATGAGATACAAAAACAGTTGCTAATTTTCATGAAAGGCCAATTAGTTTGAAGTGATTGTTCCACTACTAAATTCCTTCATACAAAGGTCAAAAAGATACAATTAACATGCTATTAGGGGTAATTTTAAAAATCTTCTTTAAAAATTAAACCAGATTTGTAGATTAGATTTGTCACCAAAATCTTTTGGAAGCATACAGTAGCAGACACTTCCATACTGCTGACTAGAAATTATTATGTGGCTATTTGGTCATTAGAAGTTAAGCTCTACTTAAGGGGAAGAGTGTTACCTGTTTCAGAAGCAACAGGTCTGTAATCAAAATAGCAAGATGAACACTTGGCTTTTTTACCGTAAAAGCACTCGTCATATGCATGACATTTCCAGATAACATTTCCTGGGTCTTCAACTTATTTTAAATTTATAGTCAAATTTGTGTAGAACTTCATGCAGGTGCCCAGTACCTATGATAGAATAAAATTTAATCTGGTTTTATATCTGTATTTCTTTCTTGTATTTGAAAGGCCATAATTTATAATTTAACAAGGAGTCACTGCTAAGTATAATGACTGATCCAAAATTTGGATTGGGACACCCTTATGGCATTATTAGCAAGATTGATAATCATTTAAATTCTTTAAATTTGGCGGTTGTTTCTTTGCTGTCCATAAATATAATCCATCCACCTTCCTTCAAAAAATATCATTCTGTATAATCAATGTTTAATGCATTACATCAAGATCCCAACATTCACCTGTATGTACTATAGTGCTTTATAAGAGTGATGATGCAGGCCAAAAACATAGCAAATAAAATGCAACCGAAGAAAGGACATATTTGCTAAATCTTTTGAGATTTAAAAGCCTTTTATCCCATTTCTATATCAATTTGCACATTTTTAAAGTGTACATGAAAACGTACACATTTTTCCTGATTATATATGTATTTTTGTAGTAATTTTGCCTAGTATAAATATTTTTGCAAGCAATTTTACCTAATGTGCATTTTTGGCATTTTCACAAATGCGTATGCATTTTTGTATACTTACTTGATTGTAGAACTGCATTGCAGAATTCAGTGAAGTACACATACAGAAGTAACTGCATCCCTCCTCCCTCCCCACATAATGCTTTAGGAAATCTTAATGCTGGTGGGCATTAAAATGTGAACTAAGGAAATTTCTCTATCATACAATTCTGTCATGCAATAGGAAAGTCCTGAGATTGTTTTTATGATAATGTAGGCATCTGGAATAGCTTTACTAACTCTAATTACAGCATCTTTGACTGTGTGTGTTTGTGTTCATCAGTTTCATCCTAGCTAAGTGTTTCGGTTGCACCATTGTAGCCCCCCCCCAAAACACACACACCCACACCCACACCAGATGGCAGGTGTTCTGGAACCGGTGCTGAGGTCCTGCAACCTAATACAGTCGGCTGTTTCACTGCAGCAGCAATTCACAGGTTCAGGCTCAGAAGTAATTTGATGCTATTTCTTTGTGCAAAAAATCCCAAATCATCTTATAGAATCTTCTCTTGATTATTGAAGCTATTCATATATGTGAAGTGTTTGTGTTACACTAGTGTCATTCACTGTATTTTAAAGTTATGTTGTTACCGATTAAGTGAAATACTTATGTACCACTGTCATCAACAAATCTTTTCTAGATTGCCCCTTGTCTTAAATTTGCAAGAGTTTGAAGTTTCAAGAAGAAAGTTGAGTTACTTGGCTTTTTAGATAGCAAAGCACAAAAAGAAAAATAAATCCTATTTCCCAAAGCCAGTTTGGTGTTGCTATATATACCATAGGTCAGTCCAGGGGTCAAGATACTTAATGGGTTAACAATTTAGTAGTGTCTTTCCACCAGAGTTGAGGTGCTAGGGTTGTGAATGTGTTGCTGCAGATTCATTTCCATCTTTCACCTTGATAACTGCTTACATAACTTCTACTCTGATGGTTTTGGCAATGATTTTAAGAGGTGTCAGATTTCTGTTGCCTGCTATATAGCCAGTGGTCTTGGATTTGGTTGATTTTCAGAGAGATTGATATGAAAGATGACACCAATTGTGATCCATATTCACCCAATCTGACTTTTCATCTAATACTAAAGTTGGGAATTGGGTTCTTCAGCTATCTAGGGCTTATGTCAAAAAGTTGCTCTCCACTTTAAACTTAAAAATGATTCCTGACCTTGAAAAACGGGCCTCTGTAATGCTTTAGTTTTACATGGTAAAAGTCTTTTCCGTGTTTTCTACAATTAGATAAATATGGAAAAGTATCAGACCCCAATTTAAGCATGCAGCCCACAGAGAAAGTTAAGGCAAAAACCCTGCTTTTTCTCCCTCGGAAATACAAAGGGTAAGAGTTACATAAGGAAAATGCCATTTCTCCACATCCATTTGTAAAATCGTTTATGGAAGGCCTTTTAAATCTCTACCTGTCTATTCTGAGTGTCCCTTTGGGTTGCTTCCCAAAGATACAGTGAAATTAAATTTTTCCTGTCTGAGATGGAATGTATGCCCCACTTAAGCCACAGGCTTAATGAGAATAATATTCCTGTACATTAGTTTTTATTAGGATGTCTGCATGTTGGTAGAAAAGGGATTGAGTGTTTTGACTGAAGCCATCCAATCATCAGGCTTTACATCTTGAATATGTCTGTGTGTTCAGGCAGATGCTCTCTTCAAATGGGATGAGTTCTGCTTCTGGGTAAATCTGCTTTCTGTTTTCCCAGATGCTAAGATTGCACAAAAACCAAAAAGAATATATAGAGGTTACCTGTAGCTCATTCAACAGTTTGCCTAAGCCACGTGACCCCATCCCATTGCAGATGTCTTCTTGCTCTGTTAAACTAGAGCCTAATCTTCAACATTCCTCATTGAGAGCTTAAAAGAAAAAAAGCTTTCATCCTTGTTATAAAAAAATCCAAATGTAGTTTTGTGAAGGCACTTTTAACATAGATTGCATTCTTTTTTCTTTTTCGCAGTCACTACATTTTTTTCTTTGAATGAATTTTTTTATTTAGGTAAAATCTTGTAATAAAAACACTAACAATACAGATGACTGATGGAACAAATACATAATGTTCAGTTATATAAGCAAATAAAGACGCACAGGCAAAAGGCTAATAGAGTGACAATAAGTTTTTTACATAACAATTTTTTTTTAAATTAAGAAAGCCAGTAACACATTTTAGTTGTATGTCATTAAAAAAAACCCTCTTTCAGCAGAAGCAGATAGGTTTTCAAATAATTCATGCAAATATTAGTTGGAAAAGCAGGCAATTTATTATTCGGGGGACTTCTCCAAGTTATTTCTTCATAGGACAGTAGCAAGATGTGTCCATTGGACCTAGTGCCTGCAGTGTGGGAATTTTAGATTCGCCATTTGTCTCAAAGGGATAAAGGTTTGCAGTCAGTTCTAAAGATACAGAACACACTGGGGGGAAACTTTAAAATGATTGCAATAACTGATTAAAAATTCGGTTATAGATTTTGCAACATGCAGTGCATGTTTGTAGAAGTTTTGATTATTTTTAATTACATATAGCCCCTTTTGCATATACTTCTGTAAAATTGCAAAGAAGAAATGTATGTTAACTTTGGTGTGTTCACTTAAATGTATTTTTTACTGTGAGTAACTGAACCATGATGAGTTTGTATTTAGTCAACACTACCAAGTGGCAGTCTGCAGGGGTCTATGATCAATTTGTTGAAAGGTTCTTTTTCTGGATAACATAACTCTGTTGGTTTTGCCTGCAGAGTAGAAAATCATGGTTTTGGACAGTTTTATAGTTTGTAATTCTCATCTGGGAAAGATGTGAAAATGTGAATGCTTCATATGGAACATGTAACTTGTATATTAAAAGTATTTTGAGAATCTTAAAGCTGGTTTTATACTCTTTTATCACCATAAATATTTTTGAAGGAGAGATGTGCTTTAGATACTTGCTCATGAAGCAAAATCTATGGTAGCAAAATGCTTGACATTTCTATGCTCATTCTACTTTGTTTTCATACTGCTTACAACTATGCATGTTAGACTTTTGCAGGCCAATTGTCTGTTTAATAAGTAAAAATAAAACTCTGAATTAAATGGGGTTTATTTTATAAGTAGGCATTAATAGGACTATACCATCATTCCTTAAATTGGTCTTCAACTCACTCAACAGAAGGACATTTTCTTGCAGGTGGACAATATGTATTTTTCTGATTGGATTCTGGAGTCGTGTTGGCTGTGGGGAACTGAAATAGGTTAGCAGAAATTTGAAACATTTGAATGTAGTCCTTTTTTCCCAAGCTAGCAACTAGTCTTTAAAAAAACAAACCAAAAATAAAATAGAGCATTGTAAGATTAATAAATACCCCAAGAACTCTTAAAGTGAAAAAACAACTGAAAGCCAACTGAAAGATCAGAGTAAGTTTTCTTCAAAATCTGATTGTTAGCGAATGTCATCGAGGAGAATTTATCTTGTAAGAGACAGCTAGAAATTTATGTTTGTTGCATAAGTTATTTTGCCATACTGACAGAAAATAATCAAAGGACAATGTACAGCATTAGTGGACATCCAGTTTTACTTAAGTTTTAAATTATAGCAGTTTCTCCCAGTATCATTAAACATCGCATCATTAAAGTTGCCTAAGTTCAATAATGGGCTGAATGAGGGGAAACATGCTAAAATTTGATCCAGGCAAGGTAGCAGTGCTATTGGACTCAAATTGAGCTTTGGCCCATTTCAGATGGATTGTATTTGCTGCAAAAGAAAACTTCGTCATTTGGGACTGCTTGATGCTCCATTGAAATGAAATTTACAGACGGCAACTATGATGCACAAGCTTCTGAGCTGGTCAAAGCTGACAAGGTATCGCATCCAAACTACTACAATCCACTCTGCATGGGGCTACCCTAGGAAAACTTGCAAAATATTGCAATTAGCCTAACTACTGTGAGGCTCTGGGATCATATTACAGTTTTATCAAAAGATCTGCATTGATGACCTACTGCTTACTCAGCATTGTTTAAGGTAATGGTATTAAACTTCAAGGCTTTGGGCCTATGAAACCACTTCTGTTACAAATAGGTGCAGTTGTATGCAGGAGAGATGAAGCCAACTTTGTGGCATGAGAGAGACTGGAAGACTCTTCTATATACTGTATCTCCCAGGCAGTAGAATGCATTCCTTTGGGAGTTACAGTTAGTCATTTAGAAAATCTGTAGAGAAATATCTTTTTGCCAGGTTTTTAATGACTGACTGACATTAGCATTTTATGTACTTACTGAATTTTGTTCTATCCTGACTGTTATAGTAGAAAATCAGGTATAAATCACACAGTAATACAAGGGAAGAGTCAATGGATGGGAAGAGTCAATGGATCAATTACATTTTATTTCCAACCAAAAGTTTTAAAATAATCAGCACGTAATTTCTTTCATAAATTACTAATAAAATGTTGTTAGAATTATGAATTAGACTTTCACTACAATTATATTTCTTCTTTTTAAACCTTGCATAGTTTTCATTCTGCTTGAAAACATTGTACATTGTTTCATATCAAGTTTTCTGAGCTTTCTGCAAAGACAGCTATATCAAGGTACAATTTTTATTATAAACTTGCTTCTTTTTACTCTACTTTTCACAATTTGGATTATGAAAAAGATGTTACGCTTCTATTTGATCCTTCCAAATGCTTTTACCATGTAAATCCTAATCGTGCTTTAGTATCATCATATTTTTGTTCATTTAATAGCTTCATTTCTTGAGCTGTTTCGCCTATGTAGGGTGGCTGAATAGCCCGCTTCTCACAGCAGTGTTGATCTTCACTATAAGCTGGGTCGCTGAAAGTAGGAATGTCTCCATGCAGTCTTTTGAGAAGTGGGTAGAGATTCTGAGTAGTCTTAGATTGTTCATCAATTATTTTCTTTGCATATTTCTGGAACTCCTGCTCCCTGCATAATGCAATCAGTTCTTGCTGTTTAACATACTCAGCATCTTGCTGCTTCTCATTTTCTCCTCTTGCTATTTTTTCAGCCTGTATTGGGAAAAATTAATTTTAAAAGTGTATACCTTATATATGTGTGCTTGTGGAAATCTTTTTTCTTTGAACCCAAGCCCAATACATGAGTGCAGTATTAAAAAAAAATAAGCAAAAGAATTGATTTGCATATCAAACATATAAATGCAATTCATTATTACAAACAAATTTGCTTTTAAGCATTTTGAGATTAGCTTTATAGGCTGCAATTAAAATGTATTCTTCCACAAATGAATGAAATACAAGATTTTTTCCCCAAAAAAGAAAATATTAAACTGTTAATTCTTCATGCCTTTTTGGATGCAAAAATAAAAAATTAAAGCTTTTGTATCAGGGTCTTAGGTCTTAACATTTAAATCACAAAGTCATCCACCTTTGACTTCTGATGGATTATCAGTAAGATTGTAAACAGTTTTAATAATGGGTATGCTTTGTTGTTTATTTTTAATGTCATCCAAAATAATTCCCTCTCTTAGATGATCAAAATTTACTACCATTTAGAAATGATGTATGAATCGTCTGCAAACATAGTGCTGTAAAGATTACATGAAAAGCAGAGCTCTCTCTATATGTTGTTTGAATTAATTCAATCCTGGGGTTCTTTGATAGGGAAGAAAACATATTTCTGTGATCTCTTGCTCTGATATGGAGATGATCTTTTTTTACTACATTGTATTAATGATGATCCTGGTCTTTTATATTTGTAATGTTCTCTGACAGGACGGAAAGTTCCCTTTAATGTATTTGCACAACCGACATTGGAAATAAAGCTTTCCCTGATATGATACCCTGATACAAAAGTATCCTTTCACCCTCCTAGGACTGAACAGAAATTTTATAAGTTGAAATATTTTCCAAGTATTATAATATGTATACTTACTATCTGTGTAACATGAGCTTCTTGCAATTTTAAGTTTGCACAATAATTTCTATGTATCTTATCCTTCTCCAGTTCTTGATAGATCCGGTCTGCTTCCATCAGTCCAATAAGCGTTTTTTGATCTTCCAATTTCTCCTCATTTTCCTTTTCTTCTTTCATTTTTATCTGAAATAATGCAATCTTATATGTATTCCATAATACAATCTGAAAACTGATGACTGTGTTAACTTGCTAGAGAATAATTTATAGAGTTGCCCTGATTCTATAATACTTTGGGCAAGTACTTCTATTTGAAAGGAAATGCCATTATTTCAATTAAACTTGCACCTTGCTCAGAAGGACAGGTCACTTCTGTAATTTTGGCTAAGGAGTGTAATTTTAAAAGTTGATCACTATGAAATAATGGAACATGTCAAAAAGAATATAAGTAACCTGCATTTTTTTCTTACCACGTTGATTCTGTGTTCTGCAATGGATTTCAGATCAGCTTGGAGTTTTTCTTCTTTAGCTTGGGACTCTTTAGCTTCCTCCTCTTCTTTCTCTGCAATTTCTCTTGCAACACGCTCATCTTCATCACCCATCTTCTTTTTCATTCGTGCTAAAAGGCGGTTAGTAATCCTCTCCCTTTGCTCTTCCATTAATCTGTAATGGTTCAGTACTTACTGCCTTATATGCTAGCAGAGTCTGAAGTATCACTTCGATTCTACACCGGATAGAAGGCAGTCTGAAATATACCTTAATTAAATTTCACACTGAATAGAAGGCATTTTCTGTTAGAAAAGGGAAGCCCCATTTGACATAGACATCTCCTGTCTCTCAAGAAATAGGAGTACACACCATTCTGAGAATGACAATAAGGATACACAGGGATTCTTCACCCACCAGTACTGATGACTGACGGGTGAAATGCAGCCTATTATCTACAAAGCACAGTCTCTTTTGTGAGTGGCTTGGCAAAGAGAAGGATGTTTGCTTATTTGTACAATATATCAATACAAATATCTCCAGTTTTAATCCAGAAATAAATTATGCTTCTACTAAACAAATCATGAAATTGAGCTGTAGAGCGTTATGGATTTGAATCAGAAGATATGCTTTGGAATGTATGAATGTAGCACCTGTCTGCAACTCATAAAAGCAGCCGTGTCTGTTTTCAGGCCTTCACAACTGCAATCCTAGAAATGTCAATGAATCACAGACTGCTTTCTTGTATGCCCTGAAGCAGGCATAGCTCTGATAAAAGAAACTTGTAATTAACAATACAATTGCTCAGAAGATATGATTGGAAACTAATTGTTGAGAATATGAATTTAGCTAATTCATTTTATTTTACTATCCCCACACAAATTATTTATTATGAAGGTTGATTATTGAGATACAACTTCACAGTTTACTTCAGGCATTTATTAGACCAGCAAAGCCTTAGCATGGAAAGGGGTTCGCTTTCTTAATTCAATGCTCTCCAAAGATACTTTGTGTAAATGTACAACATCTACCTTTCTTAGCTAATATTCAGGAGGGTAAGGGCAGGGGTGAAATGCTCCTGGTTCGGACCGGATCATCTGATCCAGTAGCGATGAAGGCGGGTGGTTTGGAGAACCGGTAGCAAAAATCCCTGCCTCCCCCCCCATGCCCAGCTGAGACGTGCAATCATCAGAGTTTTTTTTAATTATTTTTAAAGCATTTTTTCTACAAACTCTTTGGCCGAAAAAATGCTTTTAAAAATTAAAAAAAATCCTCTGATGATCGTGCAGCTCAGCTGGGATTGTCAGAGGCTTTTAAAACCATTTTTGCTACAACCTCTTCAGCTGATGGTTTTAAAAGTAAAAAAAAAGTTGGCCACACCAACCGTCACATTAACACCCCCCCCCAGCCATGCCCACAGAACCGATAGTAACAAATTTTACATTTCACCACTTGGTAAGGGTCATAATCTTATGTATGTGTAAGACCAAGGTTGGAGAAGAATGAGCT